ACCAAAATTCAGGGAATGTCCTCAAATTTTGCTTTTCATGCATTTTGTCATCAATTTAAATCTGGTTTTGAATAAACAGTTAAACAGGACAAACATGGGTACATAGGCTATTTAAAAAGTACATTAGCTTTGTCATTACTATCTTTGAATATTGCGGTTATTTGTTTTGCCGAGTGACAGTGCTAGTCACATTGTCCTAAAATTTCTTGTCACAATGGACAACTTTCTACCAATACCATGAATTGAATTGAACATGCAAGCGTGGGTATGTTTCTAGGTGCAGCTTACTAATGTTTAAAAGAAATATCTATTTTTGAAACCAAAATGATGTTTTTTTCATAAAGACAAGATACTCTGCACTCATAGTTGGTTACACAATAAATTAAATATTTCATCAATATCGAATGGACAAGAATAAAATATATCAGTTTCACTTTATTTGCAAGTGTGTTTTGTTTGGTTTATTTTTAATTAAGTTTCTTGGACTTTTAATTTTTAATTAATATTTGCTATGGAAATTGGAAAATATACACCTTTCTTTTGGGAAAAAAGGTACCTTTTTTGCTTTTGGTCAGGTCTGGGAATGTGTGTGCTTTATCACAAAAGTTGTATAATCTTTCTCCTTGTATCATCTAAAAATAGTAAGGGTTGCTAATTTAATAAAACACTGTCATCGACTTTTTTTTTTTTACTTTCCATTAAAATAGGCCTAATTTGAGAAATATTTTCATTAATTTTTGTCAACTATACATATTAAAAACATGGAAAACAACTAAAATCAAACATATTACAAATTGTTTTTTTTTATTTTGTTTTTTACTCCAGTCATGAATGTAAAGTAAATAATATTAAACATTTGTCAATGTTTTTTTCTCCTTGTAATTTTTTCTCCTTGTAATTTCTATTATTCATTAAAAAAAATATGCAGTCACACAATGATTGTTATAATACTAAAATAATATTTTTTGCTGAAATTTTCATTATCCAATTAAAACATATTATTTCATCTGAAACTTTTTCTTCACATCATGCAGTCATGAATACATCTAAATATTTTTCCTTGGAAGTTTTCATTACCCAATTGAAAAATATTATGTCAACTTAATTTTTTTTTTTACATTAGTGAGTCATAGAATTATAGGCATATAAAACAATTCTTTTTTTTATTATCCAATAATTCATCAAAAACTCTGTATATCTATCTACAGTTGTTCAATTAAAACAAGTGAAACCAATGATTTGAATTGCCATTAAAAACAAAATTATACCAATTCCATGGATAATGTACATAATGTTGTATATATCAATTTAGATTATCTCTTTTCCTTTCTCTCTTTTATCAGTCTATGAATGTGTTTTATACATTATCACAAAGTAAACATTTGTTACCAATTGCCCTATCCTATGTAAGTTATATGTATTGATATATTGATATATGTTGAATTGTTCATGATGTTGTTTGTCAATTTTGAATATGATGATTCATTATTGTGTTTTTTCTCTCAAGGTTTTGCTGAGAGAGAGAGAGAGAGAGAGAGAGAGAGAGAGAGAGAGAGAGAGAGAGAGAGAGAGAGAGAGAGAGAGAGAGAGATGAAACGAGGGATGGGACACTAACCAACTGCAGAGTGGTAATGTTGGAGGGCTTCTGCCAACTGTCCAGCAGCCAGCAGTTTCTTCCCCATCTCTAAGTGCTGCTCCACCTCCTTGCTATTAATGGCATATGATCCTGATCAAAACAAAATTTAAATTATAAATCAAAAGATTTGAAAGCTAAATTCACAAGTATTCGAGAAAACTCGAACTAATATAAAACAGAGGAAATTCAAGACAAACCTTTGAGGTAAACGTCAAGTAGTAGAAATATAAATAAGGATTTGGTGAAAATTACAACTCCTCCCATGTTCATATCTGTTATTTTTTCCTCAATCATGATGAAAATTCAGAGGGACATCGCGTAAAATTATTAAATGCAGGTTACACTGATCTGTCAACTTTTCTCGACTCTTCTTTGCAGAAAATCAAAATTGTAACTCGTGGTCTACTTTGATTGGTCAAAAAATAAACTTCCAGGTCATAGGTCATCAACTTAAATAGCTCGTTCGTAAAATGTAAATGGACCAATGGTTGAAAAACACGTCAAAAGGATTGTTATTTTTTTTTTAACCTGTTCAAGGGATTATCATGTGTACATTAAATTAAATCAGAAACATAATTAAAGTGGAATTTTTCTCTAAATTAATTCCAGACCTGATATAGTTTACTTCAGTCACGACAAATAGAAAAATGCAATTTTATTATTTTAATAATAGCTATAATACATTCTACCAAAAAACTCATCAATTAATATTTGAAAAATGCTCACTATCTTTGCGAGGAAGTATGACTAAATAAAGAAAAGTATTATTCACTTAGAAGCCCCCCCCCCCCCCATCATTCTTCTCCTATGTTTATGTACTTTAAAAACTTTAAAACTTTAAAAGTTGAACCCCCCTTCTTTTTTGAGTTTGGTACTTTTTATTTTGATCGCGAAAGTTTGTTTAAATTTAATTTGTCTACCCCCTTCCTTTTCAAGAAATGATAGAAAATTCGTATTTAATGTTATTTAATTTCATCCTCGTAATGCCAGGTCACAGGCACTTGTTTCAATAATAATTTTTTAACCCATAGTGTAATAATAACACACGTATCTAACTCCGAATTACACGGAAAGCCCCCTTCCAAGTTTATGTCCCAAATTGCGCGGCGGCGCATACTTGTAAGTTAAATCAATTATTTATTAAGAAACCAGTACATGAGATTCAATTAGCGGGGACATTAATTGAATTTAGCAAATTTAATTAATATACAATGTTATATTTTTTTTTTTTCGCAATAATTCGAATTCGGAATGGATTATATAATTTTTTGCTTACTTTTCTCGTATCAATTGAATTGTTAACTTAATTCAAATAATTATAAAACATTTTTAAAATATACTTTAATTTTTTATATTATATGTAGATCTATTTATATATCGACAAAGTGTATCGATTTGTAAAAGTTTGCAAATAGTTTATTCTTTAAAATTCTATATGTTTAACTGGGGCAATTTGAATTTGTAATTTACATCGATGTAGGGAGAGGGTGTAATAACTATAAATTAATAGTGTGCACAATCCCTTTATAACAATAAAATATGTTCAAAACAAATATACTTCAAAACTTACATACATGTAGTAGACGATCAGGAATGGTGTATTAAACTTGATTTTCCTATAGTTCCATCTTTTAAAAAAAATAGAGAAAGCGGGTATAAGCATCGCTTTAATTTCGACTGGAAAACCATATTTATATCAATCTAGCTATTTTTACCTATATTTTAAAAAAAATTATTTTTTTTACTATTTTTATAATCTAGCTATTTTTAAAATCAAAAATTAAAAATAAAGAAAAACGTATATAGCAACGCCGTGACGTCAGACCTTTGTGACTTCATAGTACAATAAAAAGTATTAACGTATATATGAGTATTGAGGAAATGTTTTCCTCATCTCAGAAAGTCCACGGAGATTACCATCTTAAGGTAGGCATACTTGAATTATTTCATTTTTTAAACATGGTATTTAAAATGCATGTACATGATCGAACATAATATTAAAAACAGTATACAGTGGTATATGGCTTTCAATGCGGTCGTCACAGATATATAAAGAAAGAAAAATCAAAGGGTGTTAAACTTATTTGAAGTGCAAAGACACTTGTTTCATTTATTTTTTTTTTTAAGTATAATAGTACATGTATAGTTTTATACTATGGGTTAAAATTTATCACAGAAACAGGAGTCTGTGTTTAAAGGTTATAGAAAACAAATACCTGCACATATTGAGTTACACACGGGAATAACTTTATCTGAGCTGCATGATAAAATACGACTGAAACTTAAACTGTTAAATAAATGCAACTTTAATGCAAGATAGCGCGACAGCACCATGAAGTTGTGCGGCGTAATAATAACATAAGCTGCAGTATTTTTTTTCGCAATCATTCAAAAAAAGATGATATAATTATTTACATGTACTTACTTTTCTCGTATCAAATACATGTACATTGTTAATTTCATATAATTATCATATAATTATAAAACATTACAAAAAAATTGTTAAATAATATTACATTTATCTATATATCTACAAAATGTATCGATTTGTAAAAGTTTCTATATAGTTTATTCTTTTAAAATTCTATGTTTAATTGTGACAATTAATTTAAAATTTGTAATTTACATGAAAGGAGAGCGTGAAATAATTAATTTATTTGTGACAGTTTATTATTTATTTTTAAAAATTTGTAATTATACAACTGTGTATTGTCAGAATGGCAATTAAACTTGGTTTTCAGTTCCATCTTTAAAAAAAGGATTAATCAACGCTTAAATTGCGATTGGAAAACAATATCTACACCTTCAAACTAGCTATAGATATTTAAACAAGGCTCGGTGGAATAAACTGGGCCACGGGGGAGGGGGGGGGGGGGGAAATGAATTTTTAAAAAAAAACCCCATAAAGTCGTATAGCAACGTCCGTGACGTCAGACCTTTGTGACTTCATAGTACAGTAAAAAGTATAACGTATGTTATAAGCATTGAGGTAATGTTTTCCTTGTCTCAGAAAGTTCATGGAAATTTCTATCTTAAGGTAGGCATATTTGAATTATTTCATTATTCTATGCTATATTCAAAATATTAATGTAAGCGGAATATACTATTGGATATTCTAAATGATTTGATGATGCACACTATACATACCAATGCAGTTTTCCCGAATCCCGACATTTTATTAGTATTACAAAATGTTTGACTTTCCATAGGCAAACAAATGAAGTTAGATCCTGGTCAGAAATAAAATAATTTACAAAATTCTTTTAAAAATATATAATAAGATGTTATTTCAAGGAAAACGACACCCCCCCCCCCTTCCCAACAAGACTCAACCTGAAATACGAATAAGTTCATTTACGAGTTACTTTGCATTTCATGATGGCGGTTGGGGAAAACCTCCACTGCTCCAGGTGATAAATTTTTAAACGAGTTGAGAGACAAAGCATGACTCAAACAGCAATTCATGACAGAAATTTATGCTAGGAATATGCTTTTTTAATAAACTCTACCCAAGGTAAGTGATTCAGCTTTTGCCATGCGTCCATTAATAATAAAATGCTATGTAGGTAGGCGTTCGGCTCACCTAACACACCTGTCAATATTATTGATTGTTTATTTGCAATTGTTTGAAAACAAAGAATGCGATGACAGTCAGATGTTCGTAGTTTTAGGGCATATAAAGTACTGGAGACATGTGCTAAAATTTTTACTATAAACTTCGAAAGCTTTAATAAAACTTTTCCAAATAACAGTTTGGAATGCATGCTTGGACATGTACACGTTCGTGTGAAAAGACGTGCGCTCAAAATACAAACATGAGAACAATGTAGTGTAACGTCTGTTATTTATTTATTAAGGGAAAAGAAATTAAAAAGAGGTAAATACTGTTGCATCTATAATTAAGAGCAGTTTATTACTTTTTTTTCTTAGTTCTGCAAATTAATGTTTAAATCAAATTGCATTGCTATATGTTCGATACTGTAAACCAGTTATTATACGTGTCATTTTTTATTCGCGACTGACCGCTACAGAACTGATCCGCGACGATTTATTTCCGCAATCAAGTTGTCATTTTTTTTTATTTCCACAAGTATTTTTTATATCAAATTAAAATCTTAAATCCGCCCCTAAATTAGGTCAAATGCTACCGTGAGTACTGCTTACACATTATTCAAGACATTCTATGCATTGTGTCCATTTAAACTCTTCTTTCCGCCCCTAAAGTGGGTAAAATGTTACCATGAGCACTTCTTACGCATTATTCACGACGATCTTTGCTTCACATTGTCACTGGCTGTACTGACACGGACTGACCATGTTGTTACGAAAATATCTTATCCCAAAGAGGGTTGCCCATGGCCAATGTTACGTATATCAGATATTTCAACTTTACTTCCCGATCCTGCCGTCGAGAAGACACCAGAAAAAGTAAAGTGCATACAAAGTGCTAACGAACATGTTTTAAACGTTTTAACAAGAAATATATGCCAATTACACACCCGAGGATAGAGCAAAAATTGTCAAATGGGCCTGTGAAAATGGTAACACCAGTGCTGCAAGACATTTCTCAAAAATTCTTGGAAAAAATATAAACGAATCTTCAGTACAGACAATGAAGCAACACAACTTGCGGGAAGTAAAGTCAAGTGAAAAAGACTTAACAGTTTTACCCAAAGATTCTCAGGGGAGACCGACACTTTTGGGAAAGTTTAAACCCGAAGTAATTGAATATATTCGCAAATTACGTGAAGCTGGATCTGTTGTAAATAGACCAATTTTAATTGCAGGAGCGAAAGGCATAATTGAATTCAAAAATAGATCACTTTTGGTAGAAAATGGTGGACAGTTAAAATTTTTGGGCAGAATCCTTTTTAAAAAGGATAGGCTTTGTCAGAAAAAAGGGACGAAAGCAGCAAGAAAGCTTCCGTTCGATTTTGAAAACCAGAGGCTTGAGTTTATAGAGACTGTGAAGAAAATTAGGGCAGACCATGAGATCCCCCCAGAACTAGTTATTAATTTTGATCAGACCAACTTATCCATTATACCGTGTGGCAATTGGACCCTGCACCAAGAAGGTATGTACTGTTTGTTATTCAACTTATTTTAATTGGAGCTGCCCATTTTCCCTGTTGAAAGAATATTAATTGATCTATTATGTTTTCATTGTAGGTGCCAAGCAGATTGAAATTGTTGGTTTGGAGGACAAAACGCAGATAACGGCTCTTTTGTCTTGTACGATGGCCGGCGAAATACTACCCCCGCAGTTGCTTTACCAAGGAAAGACCGAGAATTGTACACCGACTTCTGTGAAATTTCCAAGTGGCTGGGATGAAAAAACCAGAACGAGACGACAATGTGCAGATTTGTTGACACGATCTTAGTGCCTTATATCACGAAAACCAGGGACGATATAAATTTACCGTTGAAACATCCCGCTCTATGTATTTTTGATCTTTTTGCTGTCAATAGAACCGATTCCTTCCTTCAAAAGCTGAAGAAAGCGGGTATCATTGTGAAATTTATTCCTGGGGGACGTACTGGGGAGCTTCAACCCTTAGACATCTCAGGAAATGCTCAACTTGAAGATCTTGTGAAACAGCAGTTCACAACTTGGTACGCCAGGCAAGTGAAATCTCAGATGAAAGCCGGGAAAAAAATCGAGGAGATAAAAGTTGATCTAAAACTGTCGAGTGTAAAAGTGCCCCATGCAAATTGGATAATTGATGCTTTCACAGATTTACATGGCCAAAGGGCAGTTATTGTCAACGGTTGGGACCGAGCTGGACTTGGCCATAATTAGTGCTAATTACCCACGCTACCTCTGACTTCCCTGTGACGAAAAATGAACAATTATAACACAAGCATATATAATTTTAGACATTTTCAATCATTTTAAGATAAAAATAGTTTTAAATTTGCCATTCGTTATTATTTTTTTACTGAATGTTTGTAATAAAATTTTAACTGCTTCTAGTGCAATAAAATTCTTCCATGATCAATTCGATTGTTATGTGATTACAAATTAATAACTCTAATCATAACATGGGAATATTATAACAAACAACTGCAGAGGTTACTCGCGGAACTCGCGGATATTTATCGCACTCGTATAATACTTGGTTTACAGTATATGTTTTTTGTGTACATGCCATTATAACCTTTTAAAAACCTTGTTTTACAATATTTTAGTGACTATTCTTAACAAATGAGAAGCATTGATAATTTTTTAGTTTAAAATTATGCTCTTTACTTTTAATCACTAAAAATTTTGAACTGCAAATCATGATAATGTGATTCGTTATCCATTCATTCTGGCATAGATTGAAATATTGAAATTGAAATATTTTGCTATTCTTTTTTTCATTCTTTTCAAATTATGAAATATTTAAAACCTTAAACAACAACATAAATAATGCATAGTTATAAGATATAACCTTGGGGAGTATACATGTACATGTAGATGTTGTTGTCACACTATTTACATGATTTTTATGATTTTTTAGATGGCTACACAGTTCATGCCTCACTATGATGCCCACGCTGCTGCAGGACCGCAGTCCGGCTACAAAATGGGTCATCAAGCGGCTTTCTCTCAAAGAAATACAAATGGCCGCAGTTTTGCATTTCGTAAGAGATACGAGAGGATAGACTGGAGGAGGATAGCATCAGTCGATGTGGACCAAGTCGCGAGAACACTGGATTTTAATGCTCTTCAAGACAACATTATGAATTTAACATTTTGCAACATAGAAGCTGAACTGGTATTGATTAGTCTTAATAAATGATTTTTCTTTAATTGTAAAATTTTATAAATGCAAATGTTGATCAACTACTATCAACTACTATTCTTTTCCATGTCAGAAATAAATTAAACATCTCTACAATTCAAATTTGCATTGAATAATTAGTTTTATACATGATTTTATAAATTAGTGTTGACATGATTGTTCCTCTTTACATAAAGATAATGCAATTTTATTAATGGTAAGATGGAATAAACAATATGCAATGCATTATTTTGTTTATTCTTAATCAAATGGTTGCATTTGTACATAGGATGTGAGAATGGTAGACCCAAATTTCATCAAGCTCTTCAAATTGGCCCAGTTAACAATTGAATATTTACTGGTAAGTATCTCTGGTTTGGTGTAGTGTGTAATTATATATTAAAAAGTATAATTATATATTAAAAAGCATTAAAATTAAGAAGTTTGTATAACTTTGTTTTCAAATATGCATGATATGAAACAAACTATCAGTAATACATACTTTCATGTTAAATATAAATTAGCAACACAAGTGATTTTTTTTATTTTATACGATATAGCTTAAGTTTTCAGAAATAGCATTGAAATTAAGAAGTTTGTCTAACTTTATTTTCAAATATGCATGTAGTAAATGATTTATTACGCATACTGATACTGAGATTTTGATTTACGGAGGTAATATTGCAATTCTTTATATATCATTGTGTTCATTTCTGCATTGGTACTAATTTTCCCTTTCTGTTTTCAGCACTCCCAGGAATATATGACAGGAGTTGTCTCCAACATGGAGGAGAAAATCAAGAAAGAAGAAGAGGTATTACTTACAATATAAATATTATGTCTATAATAAGACCGCAAATACCACTTGCAGTTCAAACTGCATTTGTCACTAACTAATAATCTCTGCAAGATCTGAAGATAAAAGGGACAATATTCATTTGCTATATTCTTCAATTACACTTCATAATTGATGACAGATTAAAAGACACTACATGTATTTTCAAGGAAAAACTGTATACATTTATTGATGTGAATGTGACTTAAGAGAATACTTTTTCTCTTATTAAGGATCATGCAGAAACTAAAGCGCAGCTGGAGAAGGTTAAGAAGGAATTGGCAGACACTAAGAAAGAAAGTCACAAGAGAAAGAAGCTACTTATGGCTCAACAACAACTCATCCACGCAGGATCTGGTAGTTACAACAAGGTAAAGAACACAAAAAAAAAATAATTTACATGTATGTGTTTGAATGTTCAGATTTGTCTTGTATAATGCTTGGCAACAAAACAAACATTCTGTATGGTGATCTTGCTTCATATTCTGAATTCTCTATACACTGCATGCTATAGGCTTGTATTTTTATGTAGTTTGATTGATCTGCCCTTCCATCTTAAAAATATTATGAATGTATAGCTTAATTTGTAATTGAGCATTCTAACATTTAAGAAGACTTCTATAAAGTACACATTATTTTGCTTGTACATTTTGCTAAAGAAGCAAGAATGATTTCTGTTCATCAATTCTTTTAGAGGTAAATGGAAAGTACCTTTTATAATAAAGTCAATTATTACCCCTTTAAACAAAAAATTTTAATGTCCAGAAAGTTTTGCAAAGAAGATCCTCAATTATAGGTAAAATGCATTTTTCGTTTCAGTGCCCATTTTGTCCAAAAGCTTTCCTCAACTCCTCATTTCTCCAGTCGCACATAAACCGTCGCCATAACGATTTCTCTGGGAAAGCAGCATCTGTTGCCGTGGGAGCAGAGCAGAGCACGGGGCAGGTCCCAATGGTTGCCAAGGAAACCAAAGAAATATTCCAGCAGTTCCAGCAAGTCCAAGTTCAACAGGATCAAGCCAAGACAGTAAGTTCAAAGTCAACTTTATATATGGATCCACTAAATTGCACCCAGATCATGTGTTTGTGAAATCTTGTATCATAATTTAATTATGACTTGTGATAAATTTACTTCTTCACTTTAATTTACATGAATTTTTATCGTATGCAAAAATAAGGGAAGAAAAGTCTCATATGTCATGTACCTGCACTTGGTCATGATTTTTAATAAAACCATTCATATCACCATGCTTTAACCAAACAACAATGCATCCCTCATAGGTTCATGAAGTTTCAGCTCCCAAATCACCTGGCACCACTGCAAAGATGGAGATCATTAGAGTTCAAGAAGAAGATAAGGTACTGTTATTAGTATAGAATACTTTCTCAAAACCTGGCTATATCATGCAATGTTGTACATATTGTGACAGTTATAGAATATAAATTGCATTTTTCATTTTATTAGTCATATAAAATGGATTGCTGCACTCAGAGCTTTTCTTTTTGTGAAGTTGTTATCATAAAGAAAGTGAAAATTACATACATGCACAATGTAAACACCACATATTATTAACTGCTTAGGATTATTTAGAGCAATAACCAAGATGGTTTTCTGATTGTAAAAAAAATATTTCAAAAAATTGTTTATTCATTTTTAGAAAGAAATTGAGAAAGTCAAGGAAATGTTCATGAGAGAATTTAGTGATCTACAGTACATCATGTTTTAAAATATAGATGACAATCATTTCTTTTGTCATTTAAAATGGATTTTTGTGCTCTGAATCATCAATTGGGAGCTTTCATTTTGTAAAATCGTTATCATAAAGAAAATGAAAATTACTTACATGTGCAATGTAAGCAAATGTAGGTTTATTGCAAGAGAAGGAAAAGTCATGATGAAGGAGCAGTTGGAGAATTATTAAGAATATTTTCCTCCATTTCCAGGAAAGAAATTGAGAAAGTAAGGAAATGTTAAAAACACAAAAGGCACAACATTTGGTTACTTAATGACATAAGATAAATGCAAGATTTCCAGCAAAATTAATACATGATTCCCAATAAATCATTCAATTTTCATGTGTGTTTATAAGAGCTACTAGCCAAGCACATTTTATTTAAACATTACACTTGCAATCAGAGTTTTTAAGAAAATTAATGAAGAAATAATCTTTACTTTCTATGGTTTGAAACTGCTGTGTGGTTGCTAATATGACACACCATTTTCACCCCATTTTTCATATTTATTCATTAGGACTGGGATGATATATCGTGATATATGTGAGGACGATACAAATATCAATATATTTGAAAAAAATATTGAAATATCACCCCCCAAAAATCTGACTTCTGTTTTTCTTTGTTTATTTAACATTTGGGGTTTAATATATAAAATAAATAAGTTAAATATAAATATAGATATGAAATAAATAATAATTAACACCGCTCAGTAAAATATTTTGTGTTTTACAACATATAAACAGCTATTTTAATAAATTATTTTTCATTTGCAAAGAAATAATTTGTTTGTTTAAAAAAAAAAGATTTTAAAAGCAAGTAAACATATCGTGATACATATCGTATCGTGGCTCAAATATCGTGTGTGTATCGATATGAAAAAGTTGACACACCATTATCATTCATCATGTTCATAAAAAAATATTGAAATCACCGCTCATCAGAAAATAAAAAAAAAAACATTACCACACAAATCATTCTGCATTGGCTAGTGTGGCTCAGTTCTCAGATATAACAGCTGTTTGACCTCTCTAATCTCATGCTAATCCTCACAGCGAAAACCAGCTCCAGCACGCACAAGGCAAGAAGTGCTCGTACAAAAACCTGTCGAGGATGAAATCGAGGAAATGCTGGCTGATGCCGTAAGTACTTTCAGATTTGGGAAACATGGTATTAGGTACATGGTATTTATACATTTTTGATGCTTTATGTTCAAAGGTAAACCTGATATTCATGAAACTAAAACATTGCTAGCAATTAGCCATGATTTTCTCAGTACTGTTTTGCTGTGAGTGTGTTAATATTAATTTTGTGTTGAAAATATACATAACATCAAAGCTTGAATTTCATCTTTATGAAATGTTTGAGATCTGTGTAAACAAATGCTTTGTATTAACTCTTGTATTAAATGAATATACTATATTATGTGAAGTGCAGTATATTGTAAGGGATTGTTTACACTTTACAGGGTGCTGCAGCGTCCCCTGAGAGAACCACACCACGCGGTGGTCAGCCCAGCGGAGTGGAGGTCCCCACCAAGTTACAGATGGAACCCAGCGATGATGATGATGAAGATACAGGTATGGGCAAATAAACGGCATTTATTTAAGTAATCTGGTCAACAAGTTATAAATTCCAATTCATAATGTGTTAAAAAAACATAATTCAGTTCTTATGAAGAAAAGGTTCAAGAATGATTTGCCAGATGAGTTCAATTACCTGTATATAAGTTGAAGTAGGGAAAAAAATATGTCCATGTTTTTTGGTACCAGATTTTCATCTGTATGCTAGACTTTGTATTTCACTGATCTTTATAGACACCTCAATGTTTGTACTTTAATATGTTGTTTACATTCACAGAGCTGAAATCAGCACGAGGAACAGGCACTGGGAGCTTTGGTCGGGAATCTATGCATAGTACCATGGAGTAAGTTTTATACACAGTCAAGACTATTTTAACGTGTATAAAGAATTTTTAACAATAAATGTAATGGCCAGATTTATGAATTGTAATTGTTTATCTCCAAGTAACAGTTTATATATTTGTTGTTTTATTGCCACATTTCTTGATGGGGTTGCACTTGTATGCTTGTTTCTCACATTTTCGGTACATGTACATGTAGAAATGTATTTCTGAACACACTGCAAAAAAATATGTGTAACACATCAATGTCATATGAATGATTCTCTCATAAGTCAACCATACACAGAACAAGTAATCATTGGATAGACATCAGTACATATACAGACTGAAATGTCAGAGTACATGTATTGAATCATCTTTGTGGAAACATTTTAAGTATTTTCAAGACTTATTTTTCACGGTTGATGTTTGTGGGAATGAAATTTTTAGGTTTAGTGGCTATTGCACCTCTCAATATTGTACTGTATTGGCACAATTAAAACTTGAAATTGCCTATATAACCATTTGAACATTATAAACATATTTATGACTAATTCCAGACAGATACCAGAAACGGAAGAGTTTGAGGAAAGTAATGGGTTGTCACCCACTATGAGGTTTCTTACTATGGGAGGGTGGGTGTTTTCAGTCTTATTGGGGTGTCGTGTTGTGTGAGGGTTCACAAAGGATGAGGCATGATAAGCTTAGTTAACTCTGTAAACCCTCATTTGAAATTGATTGTGTCTGAGAAAAGGGGCAGGAAGTAGTTGTTGTTAGCGTGGGACTGGAGTGTGTAGATTTCACAAATTGTAGAATAGCTTTCAGAAGATTAATAAAGATTCTTATTAATTGATCAACTAATTATGTTGTTAATGATGGATTATTTAATTCACAAAGTTTTCAAATGTTTTTGGTAATGACTGATACAAGTGTTAGTTAGGTTTTAATTAAATCATAGACATTCGGAATGTTATAACATACTTACAAAATACACATGTTTGACTGAAAAAAAAAATGTGATAAAAAAATTTGTTCCGTGTTTCTACTCTAAATTTAAATACCCAAGTATAAAATTGCTTATTCAAACCTTAGTAAGCATGTCCAAAAACTGCTGTACAAGACTGGACAAGATAAGCCTCAGTGTAACCATTACATTTTAACATTCTTCATTCCATACCCCTTCTGTTCTTAATCTGTCTATTGCTAATATCCCACCCTTTGTGACAGTTCTTTCAGGAGTGGAGAACTAACCTTGAGGACCACACAGTTCCTGGAGGAGCTGAGGAAGAACCCCACCCTGAAACTGATGAGGGACGAGCTCATCTCCCTGTTACAGGACAGTCTGGATAAAATCGGAATCCCCCCGGTATGAAATACTGAACAAGGCTAATTAAAATATAAACTAAACTAGTCTAATTATGATATATTGAGTTTAAGTAATGCTTGATTCCTTTAGTTTTTTTATGGATTCTTTGTGACATACTGGCATTATAAAACATTTTGATTATTTTTTTTAAGGAAACCAGAGGCATCCCTGATGATTTGTTGATCAGTAAGCTAGCCTTACTGAAACAGAGGAGACAGACAACAGTGCAGGTTAGGCCCGGGTTTGATAAATTACATGAAATTGAGCTACATCATCTTAATTTGTTTTTGACAGTTGTCCTGACCTGTAATGAATTTTGAAATTGACTTTCTAAATCAGTTCCATTATGGTTGATTTATCAGAACCAGTTTCATAGTGTGACATGCTGAGTTCTATACAGCTGTACATACATTTATCACATGAATTCTATTTTGTAGAAATACCCCATCTTCACGGAGTTTAGAAAGCAGTGTAATGCCCATGCTGATCAGTTGGCAAGAGAGAGACTCAGGGAACAGAAAAGGTCACCCCCTCCCTCATCAGGTATGCATAAAGATGGTATAAGTAATCCTGATTGAAATATACATGTACAACAAATTTTGACTTATGATTTGTAGTGTTACATGCAGTTTAATACTTGTATTTGCATGTCTTACAGAGGACTAAGTTTTATAACTTGTGTCTAACCCACATAATATATTGACATATATTGTCAATAAAGTATGTTCAGAACAACCAATTTTGATATATTTCAATGCAACATTACTTTTTTTACCCCCCGCAAACAAAGTTTGTATATAGGCAGTAGCTGTCCGTCTGTCCAGCTGTCCGTCTGAGGAATGCCTCCACGAGAAACATTATAATGTACTACTCCACACTAAGACTCATGACCTAAGGGTGTGTCATGACCTTGACCCAAGGTCATTTGGGGAAGTTCAAGGTCACTGGAAGAAAAATTTCATAATTCGTGTCTGGTCCATATCTTTCTTATGGATAAACTTGGTAGGTTCTCATTTCACACAAAGATTGCCCATGACCCAAGGGTGTGTCATGACCTTGACCCAAGGTCATTTACAAGGTCAGGAAGAAAAATTTCATAATTCATGTTTGATACATATCTTTCTTATGGATAAACTTGGTAGGTTCTCATTTCACACAAAGCCCATGACCCAAGGGTGTGTCATGACCTTCCAGGTCATTTGAGGAAGTTCAAGGTCACTGGAAGAAAAATTTCCCCCAGCCATACTTATGGATAAACAGCATTTCACACAAAGATTGCCCATGAGCAGGGTGTGCAGACCCCCCAAGGTCATTTGGAGAAGCAAGGTCACGAAGAAAAAGCCAGCCCCTCCATATCTTTCTTATGGATAAACTTGGTAGGTTTTCATTTCACACTAAGATTGCCCACAGGGTGTGTAAGATTTGACCCAAGGTCATTTGTTTCAAGGTCACTGGTGAAAAATAAATGATAACTATGGATAAAGTGGTATATTTCACACAAAGATGCCCATGCAAGGGTGTGTTTGACCTTGACCCAAGGTCATTTGGGGAAGTTCAAGGTCACTGGAAGAAAAATTTCATAATTCCTGTTTGATACATATCTTTTTATGGAAAAACCTACTTTCTACTTTTCTCATTAGTTTTTTATTGTTATAGGCAGTAGAGCAGGAATGCCTCCGCGTGCTGTAACTAACACCAGTATGATGGCCTCAGGAACCTCTAGATGCTGCCCAGCAAAAATGATAAAATTCAGCCTCTCATCCCCAGCCACAGGCACAGCCACCTAGAGCAGCAGCCCCCCAGCAGCAACCAAAGCCAGCTCCTCAGAGGACACCACAACTTCTAAAATAAAAAATAAATTTTTTTTCAAAATGGTATATGTATGTGCTGCTTGTACATATTATAATCCTATAACAATTCCAAACCTTCTAATAGAATTTTTAAAAAAATGTTGCTTTTGAAACTTTTTATTTCACTAAAGCCCTCACATGGGGTATGTTAGTACAACAAGAATTTAACAATTGAACAAGTAAACATGTGAACAGTTAACATAATGAACAAGAAAAAGATCTTTGATATGGACAGTACTGATGGATGTAAAAAAAAAATATAAAAATAAAGTTTACATCGTAGGAAGTTCAGGCACTAAATGTTTTAAGAACAGTTTTACAAAACTTAGCTAAACCTGTTACTTCATATATGTCAGAGGTATTCATCAAATCATAAAAAGATATTGTATTTGGGTTCATGTAAATATTTTTAGGTATAAATCTCTGTCTTTCATTCTTAAAAAAGGACACTTGAATAAATAATGAAACTCATCACCAAGTTCATTCATCACAAAATACTTAGACAGAGTTATTCCCCTTTTTAATAAGTCAGTTCAATGCAGCAATGGTATTTGCCTGAGAAACTAATTTTTACATACAGTCCCAGGATATTTTTGAATAATTAGATCCACCACTTTTGAATCTCTTGCAGTTCTAGTCTAGAGTGGACCAGCACACAGTGGTCCGGGGACGAAGAAGAGGAAACAGAAGAGGAGGATGAGCCCCCAGCATTTGAACATGTCAGGGTGATAAAGTCTGGGCCCGCGGGGAGGGGGAGGGGAATCCCTGCCCCCCGGACACAGCCCACACCAGTAGCCAGACAGCCCGTACAGGTACATGGGAAAGCTCAGGATGAGGATGATGATGAATGGGACTCAGATATAAGGTAAAGATTATTTTTAGTGTTGATCTGAAAGTATTTTAATATGTGCATGTCATTTCTCTGTAACACACAAAAAAATTTATGAAAAGTTATCATCATTATGTTATTTCTCTGTACAGTGACATCACAGAATTGTATCAAAATCAGTGAAAATGAAACTTTGTTTTTAGGTAACTCATACATAAAATATCCTTGAAAGTAAAAGATTTTTAGAATGACCTAATCATGTATTTCTGAAAGTGAAAGTTAAACATACAAGTACAAAATTTGTTCTCCTTGTTATTTATAATTAGTCATTAAAATGCTGTAATTTGAGTCAATTTTTAGTGATTCTCTGACTTTAATGACAATTTTATTAAATACAAATAAAAATTGCAATGAGTCCAGTTGACTTTAACGACAATTTATTAAATACAAATAAAATTGTCGGTTTAGCTATTTTCCCTATGAGTATGCCCTACATTAAGTGTTTTGGAAAAATTTTGAATATACAACAAACATAACTGTTGCTGACATTTGTTGACAAGTTTTCATTGTTTTCATGACTTTATAGTGACCTAGAGGAGGAGATATTACCTGGGAAGTCCAGTACAGCCCCCACCCCAATCAGAATCCAGTCTTCACCAGCCAGAAATCCTGGACTGGCCACCTCACCCGCCAGAGGTGGACCTGTCGTTGTACAACCCAAGGGTCAAAAGGTGGCAGAACTCTCACGCACCATTGAAATGCAGCTGGCTGTAAGTTTTTGTATACAGACTCAGAGTCTAGAATTTATGATTTGAAAGCAGCACAGTGATTAGAGTTGAAATACTTTTGGAATCTGAGAGTATTTGCATTTGATTTTTTTTTAACCAACAGTTGTTGGAGTAGGGTTATTTCTTTCGTTTCTCTTGAAAAATCTCTTCCTCAGTTTTCTTTTTAGAATTCATAAAAAAGATTTTATCCATGTTTTCAAACCCTGCATGTATTGAAAGTAAGACAATAAAAGATATGCATCTTTCCAGAAGTAAATGTCAGCATGATAATGTCCACTTTGTTGTTTATCAGGGTCGCAAAGAGAAGAAAATGGCAGGGGCAGTTGATACAATGGGAGGCAAGAAAGAAAAAGATGTCCTGGTAAATTAATCATGTAGAATTCCTACAGACTGTAGTTTGAGATTGTGAAATGTCTTTCATTTTAAACATTCTTACAATATTTTGTGTTGACAGGATGACTTCTCTGATAGTGACTGGGATGTTTCTCCAGTGGAGGAAGAGGCCCCTGCTGCCACAGCTCCAAAGTACGTGTCAATGTCTCAGTCCTTGTTGGCATTCAAATACTGTACTATGCATAGATATTTTGTTTGTTGGAGTACACATATTTATGATTAGGGCTGTATACATGTACTTGTAATTTCTCATGCATCCTTTTTTGATTAACAGGAAGGCTACAGTTCAAGTCAGAGGTAGCCACGCTTCCGACACCACTAATACGTACGGCACTAGTGTCTGGGGGTCATCTTCTAAAGGTAACATTTTATTTCTCGACTTTCTGCTCATTTACTCATTTTTTAACATACAAGTTATCAAAGCAGGCAATCATAAGAAATTTCAATATGATAGAAAGAGTATCTTAAAGTTGCTTTCAGAAAATTTGAACTTAGAATATTGAGTATAATTCACAATGAAAAATCATTTAAAATGACTTGACTGTATTATTGAAAGAAAAATAATTATGTATTCGTATCCTTTATCACAGGAGCCAGTACGGTCCCAGCAGCAGGGACACAGGGGGGTCGGGCATCCAGGGGATCCTTTGTCAGCGTCACGGACGTCAGCTCAGATGAGGAACTGGATCTTGACAACATTTAATAGCGTTCTTGTTTACTACTGAAACAAACTACTGGCTGATATTGAAACAGTCCATAAGATGGATAATGGATGGTTATCCATCTCAAGGAACGAATGTACATGCAACTGGTTTGGTGCTCATTCCAACTTAGTCTGGAAATATGGTACTAAATAATATTAAATGAGCTATAGGTTTGCTACAATACTTTTGATGTTAGATTTTTGCCAATGTAGTAACTCATTTTCAATCACTCTGGCTAAATACTGTAGTAAATTAGTTCAAAGTATTTGCAAAATGTGAAGTTTATTTATTTGATCTAATCTGATCTACTGTACATATCATATATTTTATGCAAAATACTTAACTGTTTTGAGATTCATTTCAATTCCCTCCAATTGCATTCATATCTTTACACTTTTAAAACTTTTTTTTTTAACCTGAAAAGATTGAATGTTCATGCATTTTTTTAGATACAGTTTTATGAATTTATTTATTGATATAGAGACTGTTGATAAACTGATGAACTTACTTGATTTAATGAAAGTGCCTGATGTAATTTTGTTGCAAAACATGACTGTAAAAGGTGAAATATATTAATAATTCCATGAGATTTTTTCCCTTACACTGAAGTGCATAAACTGATCCGTCCAGACATCAAAAATGTGCTCCAGCAAGTTTTTTTTTTTTTTCAATTTTTTAAAGTATGTACAGAATTTTAAGTAGTCATGCATGACTATATTTTTTTATCCCTTAGGTATACAAAGTAGATCGTTATTGGAAATGTTTTTTTTTTGTTTTTTTTTTTTTTGAAAACTTAAACCATGTATGATAAGCAAACAGAAGTGAAAAATGTTCTGATTTAGAAAAAAACCCTATAAAAATGAATTCCATGAATTCATCAACTTACAGCTATGTTTTTTCAAGTATGAAAAAAATTGCTTTATCATTGTTGACAATAGGTGAAATTTTATATGTGTCATTTTTCAGAGCTAAGAAATGACAAGTTTTGATCATAATATTCAATTCTTAGATATATATTTTTTGACTTGCCGTCCTATTAAAAAATTTTTAGAATTGTAAAACTTGGTTGTGTTTAAAAGAGATTAATTGTTGTAATTTTATTTTTGCACTTTTATTAATGTGTTATATGTATATATGAAATAACTTATTAACCCGTAGTATAAGTGCTGTAATTTATTTGCAAGACATAAATAGAATTTGATATTGGCCATTAGAAATTACTTTGACATTTGTACAAGTGTCTTATTCTTTTATTGTAGTTTGTCATCCATAGCATGTACAGTAAATTTAATTGTTACTTTGAAAATTCTGAAAAATCTTAAATACTTTGAATGGGATTGTAATTAAATATAAATGATTTTATAAATAAATATTAATATCCATGTATATTTTTGTTTTTTTTTTATCTTCAATGAATCAATAAACTCGTTAATAATATCCACATGAAAAACTGCCACTCTTTAGGTGATACACTTGAAGCGTTATCATGACATCACTTCCGTTTGTCTATAAATACTTTATGGCGGGCATTAATTGGTTCGGTACTGCCAATGAGTTCAAGGTCATGTGGAATGTCATCGCCCACGTGATCTCCAGCGCTATCCTCCAACTTGAGGTTATCTAGTAACTCTTCTGGGGAGATCTCGATGTTCCTGTTATCTGCAAATTGCTGTATTTCTCTCTCAGCTTCTTCTCCAAGGTTCATATACCGTCGTTTCATGAGTTCAATGTCGGACACAATCGAGTCAGATATGTAAGCAATCGTCTCGCCCAGAGAATCGTCTGTTTTTTGTTCTTCCCGCCAATTCCGATAATCTGCTTCATCCTCCTTTTTGATTTTGTCCAATCCTACCGATTTCAGAATGTCCGGATCTATTCCTAGTTTCATAATCTCAGCGATGTTGAATTTGAATGGTTTATTTTCGCCGAGAATCTCGTGAATGAGGTTTTCACCATTGTGCATCAGTCTGTGAATGATGTCCTCTTGGTCATGTGGACCAGGTATTGTTTTCTTCGTATCCTCGTTTTTCTCTTCATGGTGTACATTGCCATCCTTATGCATCATCTTATGCATTTTTTGTTCAAGATCAACGGGCCCAGGGACTTCTTTTGCCTGTTTATTATTTGGATTGTCGTGTACATGATGATTTTCAACGTTTGAATCCCCGTGCATTAGAACCCCATGCATTAAATGTTCAGCGTCCAAAGGAGCCGCTTTTTGGTCCCTCTGATCTTGTGGTCGTTTTAGAATTCTTGTGTTCGCTAGCATGGTTGTGTCCTTGCTGATCGTCCCCATGCATCATCACTCCATGAAGAGCAGCCTCTGCATCTTGCGGTCCTAACTTCCCTTTTATCTGTGGTTTTGCAATACCTGCTTGATGAGCATGCGCAGGGTCTTCACCATTATGCATCATGGACGCATGAAACGTCTGCTCAGCATCCTGGGGACCCGCTTTTTCGGGACTTCCGGTTTTTAGTACTGGCTGGAAGCGGAGGTATTGGTCCTCAGCTTTGTGTGTGTCCCCCTGGTGGTCATCACCGTGCATTAACATCCCGTGAAGACATGCCATAGGATCTTCTGCGTTTGCGCAAGGCCCGGCCTTCTCTAAAACACCAGTTTTGTCACATTATTCAATTTCAATAGAAATGGCAAGAAGAGGAGAAGAACAAAGTAATACATGTATAGAGGTCTAAGTATAGTGTGTTTGGAATATTTACATTGACATGTTCACTTAACGCACCTTTCACAAATGGAGAAAAAATCATTCACTTAACGCACCTTTCACAAATGGAGAAAAAATCAATCTTATTTTGTAAATCCTCGACGTTGTTATGAACCCTTATCTGTTCTTATTTTGCAAACTTTTCTAAATCCGTTTCCAAGTGAAGATAAACATTTAGAACACAAGAATAAGACATTGCCTTAAAGGGGCATGGTCACAGTTTCAGCTAAAATTTCAAAATTTATATTTCCATTTTTACAAATATTTAACTAGGGTCTTTTTAATGATCATAATAAATTGAACGTCAGTTGTTGAGATACAAGACAGATTTAGAGCTCCAAACCTTCGTTATGTAAACAAGGTCCATGTCATGTTTTTGTTTACATAGATTAATGTACTAAAATATGTTCGTTCAAAGTAGATACTTTCAATAAAGAAGTTAATTTTAAATACAATTCGACAGTTTGTATTGATGTGCTGACTTTCATTTTGTTATAAATATATTTTCTATATGTAAACAAAAACAAGGCACGAGCCTTGTTTACATTATGAAGAACTTTAAGCTCTGTATCTCTTTAGATAACAAAATTTAATGATGTTCAATTTTTTGCTAAACATTAGATGATGCCTTAGGCATGTTAGGTAGACATTGTAAAAATTAAAACTTGTTTTAATCCAGTTGAAACTGTGTCCATGACCCTTTAAAACGAATATATATATTATAACGGGTGACTGTTCTTGTTAATAAACTACTTATTATAATTTATTAAGAAAGGTTGATCTTTAATAATTTCAAGAAAATCTAATACATTGTACGTGTATGTAACATTTACAATATACATGTATATACTTACCTTTTGTTGGTTTGGAAATGGTGAAATGAAGACTACCTACTACTATCCATAACTCAAATAACTTCATATTTCTGCAAAACTGACGTGTACTTTAGTGTTTTAGTGACGAATACCTGATTTGTTTTGTGTTTATGTGGGGTATTGACCATGTATAATACGTAGCTGTATTTCCTTTTGGTTGGTTTCAGCATCGTGTGTACCGCTCATCGAACGAGCGACATCTGGCGATCAATTGATTAACTTTAAGTCACGTGTGCTTAACCTTTCCTATTCAAATTGTAATCTTTAGTTTATTAAGCATCTAAAATATTCACTATTAAAGATATTTTGCATGCGGGCTTTATTTTTGGAGAGTATAATTGGGAGGTTGCATGAATGAGTTCTTCGCTCACGCGAATGAGATATTCCTTCTGACAAGTTAGTTCCTTTCGAAAGAATTCGAAATTTTTTTGGATGAATCTTACGAATCGGATAATTGTTTAGAAGAAATTCGTCCGAATATTTAAATAGTTTTGTATCTGGACATTGAACGACATCGTAATGAATCAAATTGTTTAAATTTTGAATGTAGTGGAAGTATATTACGTGAATGTAAAATATGGAGTTTGATAATACATGTACATGTATGCCTAAAATTACGAGGGGTGATCAAAAAGTTCGTAAACTAATTGAATAACTTCCATACAAGAAACAATATTTGGTTTTAATGTTGATTATATTTTAAATTAATCCTCCCCGATTTTAATGCACATCAACCATCGTTCTGCGCATGCGCGAATCACGTGATATTGGCGGTCACAAAAGTTAAAAGATTTTTCCGAGTTTTATATTTCTTACCGTGTGAGTTAATTTTTATGACAAGAACAGTTAATTTGTCAGAAATGGTCATATCTCGGTAAAAGAATGGGTGGATAATAACATCCTTTCCAAAAATAAGCATGGGGACCATTAAAATACAAATCTTCTGTCTCAGGAGAGACCTTTATTCAAGGTGGATAGAGAATGGGTGCATCTTTTTTATCATATCTGATATGTTTAAAATCTAAAGTAAACGATATCTTAGGTATTTAATACTTATATCATTGTTCAAATATTCAACTATTTTTCAAAGTGCTAATTGGAGGTCTTTGATAGCAAATTGCTTAATTAAAAATACATATCTTTTCAAACTTGCTTTCACTGGGCAAGATGACAAGTATCATTTTTAACCATCAGCATTCCTTCACTAAAACGATTAATCCAATCATTAATTGAATTTATAGGAACTCATTTATCTCAATAAACTGTGTACAAATTATTATATGATACTGTAGAGGGATTTCTAAGATATTACAATAAATTGTACAGTCGTTTGTTGAACGAGTTCGACTGAGACAACCATTTTTCGTCACAAGTGTCCTAAATAGTGACGTCATTTTCACATTGTGACGTCACAAACAAGGAGAGAAACTTTATTCAGCATATGCTATTTATAGACCTTGTGTATGGCTATGTGTGTACTGAATTTCATTTTAATCTGAATTGTGGTTTTGTAGATATAGAGATAGTTTGCGAACTTTTTGATCACCCCTCGTATTAGTTTCATAGGAGACTTGTACATTTTCATAAATCAAGTTAATTTAAAGTTAACAATTATTAGGCATTTTTTTAAAAAATATGTCCTTGACAATTTTTTAAAAACATAATTATCTTTTGTTTCTCAAAAAATACATGTAATTTGCACACAAAATTACAACTTACGAAATACATTATCATTAAATAATTTTAATTAAAATTGGGTGAATCTCTTCAGGAATGACTATGTCCGCATCTGTTTATCTAAATATACAAGATACACCGAAAAATTCATTGTTATTGATAAAACGTAAGAGTTGGCTGGGATTGGCAAATATTATTCCGTTTATTGAAATTCTCCTGCTTTATCTCTTATACAAACGTGTTCCAACGATGGCTTAAAATAGAGACGGTCGACCTCTTATCTATCTCACAAGGACAGTGAATACATGCAATATTTGACAATTCCTTGTATTAATGTTAAGTTTAGGAATTTATAAAGAAAATCATTTAACTTTTTGTTTTATTTATAAAGTTCAAATAATGTTTCCCTTTCTATGCTCAAAAAAACCATTATGTTTTCCACATTTTGAATTTCGAAAGCGACAAGTTTTTTTTTAATATATTCGATCAGTGCATACTATTAATGCAAGATATATTACTGTAGTCAGCGGCAGCTCACACAAATTGGTCCGACCAAAATAGTTCCATCATGATAAGTAGATACAACATTATTGTTCATGATGAGTAAAGTTGTGTATGTCATACGTTAAAGAAATCAAAAATAACGTCAAAATATTATTAGAAAGTCACTTTCCCCCCGAAATGCAAATAAAAAATATCAATATTCCTACGCTCGCTCCCTCCTCAGCCTTTTTTTTTTTACATGTTTGATAACAGAGAATATTTAGGTCATTCTTCGATTCATATCTTTTCACCGATGAATTGATAATACTATATCAACAATTGTATTAAGTACATGTTTATAGTCCGTTAATTATCATACAATTTCTTCTTAAAGAAAAAATTAATCATTCTGTGTGTGTGTATTATTAAATGACGGAATTTTCAATCCCTGGCCGGATTCTGCTCGTGTGTACACTTTGTAAACTGTAGGGTATGTGTAGCAAAACGAGAACTGGGTCGGAGATTCGGGTTCGTGTTGAAGTTCAGCATGCCATTTTATATAGAACTTGAATAATGTAAGTAATTTCTGCGACGAATACATTAGTATATTTCAGTAATTTTCAAAACAAAAAAGGTTTTCAGTTTAGAATTTTCCGACCCGGTCCTAATTCTCCTAACCCGGCCATTTTAAACACAAGTTGTTCATGTTGTTGCAGATGCAAATGTTAGAACAAACTATATATAGTTCAACAGGGATTGTATAATTTTTATTAATCAGAATTCGTATTCATATGATCTAATTAAGAAAAGAAAAGTTTTGTCTGCCATCGTAACTTCTCGGCAAAACAAAACGTGTTTCTCCGAGCTCGCTGGATGCGTTTGACAGCTCCATCACACGTGTGTAGACCAAGGCTAATGTTGGTCTTGCGGACACAGGTACATGTAGGCCTATGTGTACTGTTTGTTAGGAGACTGGGTGACCGTAATGCTATGGACTCACGAAATTTACACCAGTTCCATAATTAGACAGTGCAGTTTTTTTTAATTAACGTCATTATAAACACTGTTAAACATATCAAATCTAAAAGTCGAATATCTTTGGATATGGGGTAACCCATATCTATTCTTGTTTAACGAGTGGCACTAGTAAGTAAATTGTTTTACTTAAAAGGTGTTGATTAGATTTTAGAAATTGCTATTTTTAAACAGGGAGATTGAGAGTGAGAAAAATATTGGAAGACAAGAATATGTATAAAGCATTGAATTCACAAGCACAATGCATATAGTTTTTTAAAGACAAAAAAAGAAAACTTGTGTATTGTAAAATAAATTTAAATCTATTTACATCAATAATTTATTACTCTAGACCCTTAATACATGAAATATATAGTCCCCTATAATCTACTCGGATGTTGTGCCTGTGTTTTGTTTGGCAAGGGTTTCCTGAAGAGCTTGGGCGCCATGATTGAGAAGGTTAACAATATGTGGCTGCATGTTGGTCAGAGTTTGTTCTGCAATAAAATGTTTATTGAGAAAAAGTGAGAGTAAAAATTTGCAGTTATGGAATCAGTATTATGAATTTGGTTTGAACTTACGGAGGATATCGGAGACGGCGTCCTTTAGAGCAGAGAGAGCGTTTTGTCCGTGTTGTGCCAGAGCTGATACAGACTGGTGAACAGCATCTCCGTGAGCACCTGTTGTCAAACTTGTGTGGAAAGAAGTGGCTGTCTGCTTCAAGGTATCACCAACTCCACTGACCATCTAGAAAAACATTGCAAATAGAAACTGCAAAAGGTTCTCTTGGAATGAGACACAGGATAAACAGATTAACATGTTGGAAGTTTTAATAGCTACCTGTTGGACAGCTTGGACATGGGGCTGGAAGAAGTTAGCAAGACCTTGTCCAACAGTAGCCAGAGCGTCTGTGAAGGTGCTTCTCTTGTTTCCTGGGTGTAAAGCTAGGACCTTTCCGAAGAGTCCAGTAAGTTCAGAGACGAGTTCGGTTTGGATATCATCAGCAACAATGTGGTGGGCAGCTAAAGAAAGTTTTGCACATGTGTATATACCAGATCAGAAACAACATTTGAAACTCAGTCAAACCGTACGATATTCTCAGACCTCTTGGAAACCGCTTGACAGCTAGTGCAACAGATTTTGATGAATTGAATTTAAATACTGACCTACGACCTGGTCTACTTTGCGGACAAGTTCAGATGTAGGGAGAACGGTGAGCTGAGAGGCGAGATTTTTAAGCTTGTCTACAGCCTCTGTGTAGGCACCCTTCATTTTGTCCATCTTCTCCTGCACGATCTTCTCAGCGGCATCAGTCAAAGGCTTAGATTGCTGAAGGAGTTCACTGTCAGGAGAAAGATTGATAAATACATATTGCAGTACTGATAAACGTCAACACATGGATAACAGTAACCGATTCTTCAGGTTATCAAAACATGTTATGTTTCGTTTCCAAGTATTGACTAATGCTTCACAATGTGAATGAATTTCTGGAAAACTAGATACACTAAATGGAATACAGTGATATTGCTGCGTAGCGATCTTAACCATTTGTTTTCCTGTATTGATACATGTATTTGGATAAAGCTGTGTTGATGACAAACTGGATATTCATTCACATTTTGATAATACTAAAGAATTTCCTTTTCATAATTATGATAATAATAATTTGTTAGATACATGCTACGTACGACAGAGATCTTTTGGTACCAGTTGTGTCTGTTCCGGTAGGCGTACTGAGGGCATTCATGGTTCCCATCAACAGACCTGGACAATGAAAACACGTATTTTCTTTTTTTTATTTGCATACTTGCTTTCAGGGAATGTCCTTTGTGTTCAGAGAATTTGATTATGCTAAAAGTGGATTCTTTCTTTTTTCTGTTTTTTTTTCTTTTTTTTTGATAAACGTTTGACATGATTTAGTTCATTTTATGTTATATGAAGAAAAGGAAGATAAATCAAGCTCAAGCGTTCATTGACACAAGACAAATTTGGAGCACAGTAAACACAGGGATATAAAAAAAACAAAACAATCAGAGCTTGGATCAGGTGCCATTGGGGAGTAAGTACTTCTTGTATTTTCTTGCAAGTTTTCCATGTTCCATTTTTGATACGAAGAATGTTAGTTATCAGACCAAACTAATGTAAAAGGAGCAGTTTGTGGAAGATACTTACTCTGAAGAGCTTGAGAGGCGAGCTGTTTTCCTTGCTCGGCAGCTGTATTTAGAAGATTCTGTCCAACTACTTTGGCTTGATCTCCAACAGCGTGGACTGTAGTTGTTAGCGCATGTCCAACGTTTGTAAAGGCATTCTTCAGGTCATCAAGAAAATTGGCTTGACTTCCAGCAGCCAGACACAAAAGGAGAAGACAGGCCACCTTCATGATTTAACTGCACGTAGATAAGATATAAGCATTCAACAGAAGATCTTTTATCGACGAATGTTTACAATTTAACTCCTTAATTTTGTTCATTTCACTAAGCAAGAAATGACTTTTGGTCTGAAATAGACAGAGTATCGAATAACGTAAGATAAGCCACTAAAGCAAGTTATAAATTGTGAATTTAAAAAAGTCGGTATTCAAAGTGAAGCAGATTCAACACCTGTTGGAATAGAGAGTTCACCCGTTTTTATCAAATGAAAGTGTTGATTGCAATGCCTGCCGAAAATATGTTCATTTCAGTCAAAATAAGATTAAAACATTAGTGTAAAGAAACATGTATCTATGAGCGAACAAGAGGGTTAATGACATTTTTAATACTTGGCAAAAATCAATGTCAAAGGTATATTGATAGAGAGAAATATATATTTTTGGCATTGATATCTATAATAAATAATTTCCTTAATCAGAAAATTACCAAAAACAGAAAACCAGACATCTCGTATTGGCGAGCAAGATTTAACAATGTACAAATTTCTTTTGTCTTAATTATTATGCAAGTTAATGATCTAATATGGAAATAATACAAGCTAAATAAGATTAAAAGAAAGTAAAGCAAAAAAGAGCAATTTTATAAAGTTTTATAAAGTCCTAAAAAGAAGAAAAAGAATGACTCTAGATTATTAGATAAAGCCCGATAAATTAATTATTTTGTTTTTATTATTTTTTTGAATTTTCCTCAGAAACAACACTTCAAGCTGACTCATCTCGAAGCAAACTTCATATGATTACTATATGAAGCTGTTGTATTATAAAACAACATTCTATTAACCACACTAATGAAATCCAGTATATCTAATAAATTTAGCATGGTTAAACTGTGTTTTGGTGTACTTACATAGACTGTAATCCACGTAACTGTTAGAAAGACTAACAAAGATCTGCTGTTATATACTGTTTGCAATAGTCTCTTGAATACTATCACGCAAAGATAAGAAAAGTATGTTAAGGTGCATAAAATGGCACCATGTTACGTCATTCTATATTTCAATTCCTTGCTCGGAAATTTTGGATGAGGCCATTTCAATCTTAAAGATAAAAAGACACTGTAAAGCACTGGGTATCAGTTTAAGTCTAGAATCCAAATTTCTTGTGCTATAGAAGCAAAGTCCACATAAGCAAAATGAACTTATAATATGTTACACTTTAAAAGAAAAAAAAAGAACAAAATACACGTATGTCCACACTGGTATATTGAGAGATAAAATTGAATTCCTTTGAAAACCTTTCTAGGTTATTTCATTCATCAGAATTTTCGTTTTGAATAATTATCATGATCCTATTACGGCGTCTAAATTGTTTTCAGCCTTTCACTGAACATTTCCAATACTAAAAGTTTTTGAATTATATAAACCTTAGTCTAAAAATTGATTAAGACTGAAAGTCTTTATTCAATGTTTGAGTATTTTGTTCTCACATGACCTAACATCGCTTTTTTCCTCGTATCCATGAAAAACAACCTTGATATCTTTTCATTTGTACAGGGACATCTAGAAGGATATAAAAGTTTGACCTTTTAAATACTGTCCAATCAGAAGTTACCACATACTCGAGCGATCTCATGCACTTTCAATTATATATATTGCGAAGAAAACCATTCCCGATACGTAACGTCACATTTATGTATGCTTTTCATACCATGTGAAAATATCCATTTTTAAAGTGTTCTTTTTCCCCTAAAGCAAAATTGAGTATTCGTACAATCACAATCTATGTATTCTTTTGGACCTATTTTCGCAATGGTATAGTTTCTATGGATACAGTTTATGGAATTTTGAAACAACACACATTCCGAACGATTTGACGTCTGATAGAAAGAAAAAAAGAGAAAAGAAGGCACATTTCATTATACAATTTTATTTTCTACAGTCTATATATGTAATCTACTCGGATGGTGTGCCTGTGTTTTGTTTGGCGAGGGTTTCTTGAAGAGCCTGAGAACCGTGATTGAGGAGGTTAACAAGGTGTGGCTGCATGTTGGTCAAAGTTTGTTCTGAAATATTGAGAACAATAAATTAACTAACGCCTTTCCTTTTTTAAGATGTTTAATAACAACATTTATATTTCTCTGACTTTGTTGTGAATCAGTTTGGTTTAATGTAAAGTAAAATTTACGGAGGATGTCTGAAACAGCGTCTTTAAGAGCAGAGAGAGCGTTTTGTCCATGTTGTGCCAGAGCTGATACAGACTGGTGGACAGCATCTCCGTGAGCGCCAGTGGTCAAACTTGTGTGGAATGCAGTGGCTGTCTGCTTTAGAGATTCACCTACACCACTCACCATCTATAAAAACATACATGGCAACATTTTTGATATTGCATTTTTGATATTTGATATGCTCTGAACGTTGTATTTAATATTATATCCATGTTCTTAGTATTAAGTTTATCAAAAGAACCTGCTGAACAGCTTGAACATGGGGCTGGAAGAAGCTGGCAAGGCCTTGTCCAACTGTAGCAAGAGCATCCGTGAAGGTGCTTCTCTTGTGTCCTGGGTGTAAAGCTAGGACCTTTCCGAAAAGTGCGGTCAGTTCAGTGACGAGTTCGGTTTGGATATTATCAGCAACAACGTGGTGGGCAACTAAAACAGTTTTTAATGATAAACTTGCAAACAATCTAATCACACATTGCTTAGTATCGTTTGCATCAAAACAATTTTTGAAACTTAATCCAGTTGCTTACCAACGACCTGGTCAACTTTGTTAATGAGTTCAGGAGCTGGGAGGTCGGTCAGCTGAGAGGCGAGATTTTTAAGTTTGTCCACAGCCTCTGTATAGACTCCCTTCAGTTTGTCCATCTTCTGCTGAACGATCTTCTCAGCGGCATCAGTCAAAGGCTTGGACTGCTGAAGAAGTTCACTGTTGAAAATGATCAAAATTGCACACATGTACTGGCATTTTTTATTTTTTTGTCAATTCTTAATACTTGTCTGATTAAATTTCTCGGTTTTAACCGTATGTGTAGGGAAAATGTATCGACAATGTGAGAAAACTGTTGATCTGAATGCTCCGCGTTTGTTAAATAAGAAAATATTGCTTTGCCACTAGTAAAGGTTTATCTCGAGATCTTCTGGTGTAAATATATGTTCTGCATCAACTGAAAATATTTCTTCCCTTATACTTGTCTTATATGTTTTTAATATATATAGGCTAGGTAGAAAGGACATGATACGTACGACAGAGATCTCTTGGTACCAGTTGTGTCTGTTCCGGTAGGCGTACTGAGAGCATTCATGGTTCCCATCAACAGACCTGGAAAATGAAAGCTCACAGTTATATGAAATCAAAATCACTCTCGCTTTCGGCATCTTCGGTTTATGTGCATAGTTTATGGAGTCCAAGATAAGGTAAAATTATTGACGAAGAAAATAATATATCCATATTTGTTAAATCCGAACAATTATCCTCTCGAACCCCAGTCCCCAGTCCGCTTATATAATTATCTCTCCTACAGAGTTGAAGAGGATCGTATATTTTGGCCTTGGTTTGCGACGATGAACAATAAAGGGCAAAAAATATACCAGACTGAAATAAAAAACGAGGAAGTCGTGAAAAGAAACCAACTTTGAAGAGCTTGTGAGGCCAGCTGTGTGCCTTGTTCTTTCGCCGCAGTGAGAAGATTCTGTCCAACTACTTTGGCTTGATCTCCAACAGCGTGGACTGTAGTTGTTAGCGCATGTCCAACGTTTGTAAAGGCATTCTTCAGGTCATCAAGAAAATTGGCTTGACTTCCAGCAGCCAGACACAAGAGGAGAAGACAGGCCACCTTCATGATTTAACTGCAAGTAAAAAAGAAACTCGAAGAAACAATGTTTTTTTTACATCATCACCACCTGGAGCAAAAAATAAACATTAGTATGTTACATGTAAAAATATTTTAAATTCCTTTTACCGTCAGTAACAATTTTGTGTGATGAGTTTTGTTTTACAATAACAAAACTCAAGGCTCATTACTTTCATATGAATATGCTACAAGTATGAACGTCTGTCTTTAAAACAAGATTCTGATTCTGAATCATATTTTTTCTAAATCGTATTCATTTTATTTCTATATATGAAATGATTCAATTTGATAAAAGCTATTGTATGATGGTGCAGTGAGCATATGTAAGTGCTTCCTTTATGTTTGTCGGGAGTTTGGTTGTAATTTGGTCTCTAGTACTTATTACATGCTCTTATACCGAGGATTAGTAAAAGAAGAACCTTATACATGTACATGTAGAATTTTGATATCTACAATGGGCTTTTAGTGTAGAAAAATGTTTTAAAAAATAAAACAATATATTTTCTATAAAAAAATAAAACAAAGTATTTTCTATGATTTTCTCTCTCGGGTGAGAACGCCAACATATGGAAGAAAAAAACTTTTTCTTAGAGTTCGGCCATATCGGGGTTGTTTACCTTTAAATGCTTTCTTCCACATAGAGCAAAAGGATAAAGTAAAAACGTGGAAAAATATTATACTTACGTCGACTAATATCCAACGACACGTTACTGTTAACAAGACTGGAAAAAGTCTGCTGTTATATATACTGTGTGCAAAAGTCATCTGAATTATATCACGCAAAGATAAGAATAGTGTATCCTTAGGTGCATATAAAACGGCACCGTGTTAAGTCATTCAGATACCTTCACAGCGGATTTTGATTAGGGTGCTTTATTTCATAAAGGATAAAAAAAGGAAGAAAACAGTCCTGACTTACTGCACCGTAAGTAGTTATATGGCAATGAGATTTGGTCTAGATTTATCTTTATAAAGTTATATTATATTCAAGTACAGTAAACGATGGACGTCTTTGCATTGCCATGATGAAATACTGAAATTAAGGATGGTCAATACGATGGCGATTCTTTCAAAGCATAAACCATTTTTCATTTCATGTTTTAATTATGGCAGTGCCAAAGGCACCCATCATTGACGATACTAAAATGTAACAAGTTATATAAATAAGTCTAGGCTCAATCTCATTAAATTTTAAATTATTTTATTAAGAAATACTAACATCTCCAATAATCTTGTTTGTTGCCTAAAAATTTCATTCACATATTTATTGATAATATACGTATCAATGTTTATAAGACACAAAGATCCACAAGAAGAAAGATTATGTCCTCTCATCAAAATAGAGTTATCAGTATTGTCATGACGATACAGTATTGAAATCAATTTTAGTTTATTCACAAATCTATGAAAATTTTATTTCCATCCTTTTTGATAATCCTCACTGTCAACTTTCCACCAAATATCTTTGATTGGCACGTTTCACCACTTTTTAACCTTTTTAACAGACCAATCCATGTCTTGGAGCAAGTGAGAATTATCAAAAACATGGAAACAAATTCAACTATTAGGGTCCCAAGTGTGTATATCGCGATGCATTCAGTGAAAATTGACTGCATATTCGTCCAATCTTCCTGGCAATTATCTATCTTTTAAATTCCATTTGTAAAATTTATTTGTTACGTTTTTATCTATACAATTCCCCCCCCCCCCTAATTTGTTAAAAAAAGTGTCGGAGTTAAATCTTCGTCTTTGATCAGGTATCAACCCTTTTCAACATTTAACGGGAGAAAAAAGTAAGAGACGAGCAGAAAAGCTTAAAAATAATTTACTCTTGAATTTGACGCTCTGGTTTTGTAATTGTAAAATAACGCAAGAAAGTAAGGTCGACGCACAAAGAAATTCAAATGAGAATAAGAGTCTTCTTTGCACCATAGCAATAAAGATTATTGACATGTACAGAAATTATGACGAGCGAAAAGTGTGTTTCAAAATTAAGGTTATAAAGACGTCAGTAACATATTTTTGTGTTAGGAAAGACGTAACCTTGCAACCTGTAATCCTCTATTTCAGACACATTCATTTATGGCAAAATTGTACATATTGATAAAAAAATTAAAAATTGTTTTCCACCATCCTTTTATTGTTTTTAAATATGGTTTATAAAAATGCGTATAAGTGTACAATAAAATATATTCAATTTGTTACACTTCACTGTGGATTAGTGTTAGAAAGGGTTTCCTGAAGAGCCTGGGCGCCATTTGAAAGAACGTTAGCAATGTGTGGCTGCATGTTGGTAAGAGTTTGTTCTGAAAATAGTCAATAGAACAATCAGACTAAACATCATTTTAAAATAGTGAAAATATATATTTGGATTTATTTGAATGAAAAGAAAGTAAAGGTAAGAAAAAGTTAGCAATCTCAAAAAAACCCCCATAGATAATACAAATATGCGAAATTGACATAATTCATGGGCCCCTGGAAATTCCAGAAGTGGGATCAGGAGACTCGAAGAGATAAGCATCCCCTGTTGGCCAGTCATATCCACCGGGAGCCCTTCATGTATGAATTAATCAAATAGATAAAGACTTACGGAGGATATCTGTTACGGCATCCTTGAGAGCACTAAGAGCATTTTGTCCATGTTGAGCGATTTGAGCTGATGATTGAGAAATAGCATCTCCATGAGCACCAGTAGACAAGCTGGTCTGGAAAGCATTGGCGGTTTGCTTCAGAGATTCACCAACTCCACCGACCAACTGAAAAATAAAACAAAAATGCCACAAAACTCAGAGCAAGGATTTCATTTATTCAGAAAGACGTGTTTTGTATCAGGTTGGTTTACCTGTTGAAGAGCCTGAACATGTGGCTGGAAGAAGCTGGCAAGACCCTGTCCGACTGAACTGAGAGCATCAGTGAAGGTGCTTCTCTTGTTTCCAGGGTGGAGAGAAAGGACATTTCCGAACATCTGGGTCAGATCGGAGACGAGCTCAGATTGGAGTTTGTCACTGACAGCGGTATGGGCAGCTATGTAAAGACATAAACATTTGATTTCCGACAAAATTCATAAATGTACACGTTATTAGGAGGAGATCTAATCAAGATTTCAAATAATCAAATACTAAAGATATCTATATTCACTTTCTCTGTAACAATGAAACTCAAATAATTTTGATGATGTTTCAAGCCATTCAAATAATGCGATATAAATTAGGCTATATTTTTGCATTAATTGTTTTAATTAATGGTTAATAAATGTTTGTATAGATGTACTAAACATCCAAATACCTACCAACGATCTGATCGACCTTCTGGGTAATTTCGGAGGCGGGCATGTGTGTGAGCTGAGAGGCCAGAGCTTTGATTTGGTTCAGAGCCTCAGTGTAAACTCCGTTCATGTTGTCCATCTTCTGCTGCACGAGCTGTTTAGCGGCGTCAGTCAAGGGTTTGGCCTGCTGGAGAAGTTCACTGTGAAATACAAACATGGAGCTAGAAACAGTCATTGGTTTTTCTAATAGGTGAACTATAAATTTCTTTATTTTTATTGTTCAAGCAGATGATAACTTCATTCCTTAAAACTTGATATCAATCGACTTATTCTTTGATCTTGAAATGTATGAAACAATCTCTTTTTTTTGCAGAATTACTGATGAGGTACCATATTTGTTTATACTAAGGTTAATTTGTATAACTAAATCTTATTTGCTATAAATTGTTGATAATACATACGACAGGGAGCGTTTGGTTCCAGAGGTGTCGGTACCACTGCTGCTGAGGGCGTTCATTGTTCCCATCAACAAACCTTTAATTTTAGAAATGTTACAAAATTTCATTTGTTACATTTTACACATTACACAGTTTCTGAATATTTTGAATAATAGCTTCCTTCATTTAAAAATAAAAATGTATAATCCCATTTCAGATCGTCATTGTGTTCGATGTGTATATTAGAAAAACAACTAAAAGGAAAAACCAAACAAGGTGTTTATCTAGTTGAAATATGTTTTGTTTTACAAGCGATATAGATCAGTGGGCTACAGTGTTGCTAAATGCATTATTTTTAAAACCTTCAATGACAGGTAATAAGAATTTTAAGGTCCAGTTACTTTTTAAAACAAATAACAAGTAGTTATTGAATGACTTAATGACTTAAGTTTTAGTTATTTTCCCCATGTGTTTTTGAAGATATTTTGAAGTAAAAGAAATCAGAGAGGAAATACAATCTCTCTCTCTCTCTCTCATTCTCTCTCTCACATAAAATTATGTAATGATGAAGGCAGTGAATGTATAATTCTTTGCGAATCAATATTGGTAATTCAAATTTTTTTTTAATTTTACAAAACATTGGATTTATCAAAAGGTCTTTTTAGGGACAGTTGATAGTGAAAAGTTTATGGAATTTCAAAGAATGGAAAATAAAATATTAGGATTCATGATTCTTTATCAAATTGGATAAATGATATTCAACTCTTTTGGCATTAATTTTACAGCATCAAAAAAAAAAAAAGATTAATCATATGTTCTTGACTATAGAAATGCAAAACTGAAAATTTGTATTTTTATTGTTTTGTATAAATAAATTACCTCCAAACCTAAAAAAACTGAAATAATCTTTTTTTTTAATTTTTGATAATTATCTGTAGAAAACCTTTTCAATGGTGAGAGAAATATTCTATGATATTCTGTGCTCAATGAAATTACAGCAAAGACAAGAATTATTTTTAAATGCTCACTTTGAAGAGCTTGTGAGGCCAGCTGTGATCCTTGTTCTTTTGCTGCAGAGAGAAGGTTCTGTCCAACTACTTTGGCTTGATCTCCAACAGCGTGGACTGTGGTTGTTAGGGCGGAGCCAACGTTTGAGAAAGCATTCTTCAAATCATCTAAAAAGCTGGCCTGACTACCAGCCGCTAAGCACAACAGTAAAACGAAAGCAACCTTCATCTTTCTGTAAAAACAAAAGCAATCTAATAAATTTCTAGTAATCTCCATGTTATAAATAGTGCTATTCAAACATGACTGATAAAATCTTTATAAGAGCACCCATATCAAGCAAAGCTTCTTTGCAAAGCTGGATGTACGTTAAGTGCATTTCAGGAAGCGAGGGATTGTTTGACTCCCATGGTTACAACGAAGGAGATCACTAAAAAGCCCCACAAAAAGCAGCATCTAATATATTCAAGATGTGCTCACTTTGAAAAACTTGAGCAGCAAGTCGTTTCCTCTGTTCCATGGCAACACGTAGAAGATTCTGTACTTCGGCTTTATCCCGATTTACAGAAGTATTTAAAGTGTTTTTAGAGTCATTTCAGCATTTTTAATGCACTCCTCAGATCATCAACGTCTGCTTCCTCAACAAGAGGACAAAAACTGTCCTTACTGTTCTAAAGAACAGTCGAATATCTTCACGAATAACATATTTTCTGTACTTTGCAACACTTTGTCTTTGTTGCTTATCCTTCAACTTGTAAATTCGTGTATATGAAATCCTTCTGAAGGTTATATTATATCCATGTATATGCTGTGATACTAAACGTTTGAGACAAACATAGCTGTTCGAACCTGTGGAATGCTAGGTAAGAGATTTTTATCGGGGGTTACATGAAGTTTGTTTGAAGATATATCAATTGTTTTGAAAATACATTTATGAATTCTTTTTTTTTCCAGAAACCTTTATCCTTTTTTAAAATGGTTAAATTATTAATCAAACTAAGTTTATCCAGTACCCATCATCCGTGAAATTGTTGCACTATATCTTTAAGCGTACATGAAACTAAACTTACATTACTGTAAATCCTGAGATATGAGACGAATCTACAAAAATTCCGATAACTTCGGAGTTTAAATATCAAATATGTACATCTGGGAAAGTTCTCATCACGATCATACGAGCATTGAAGAATCACTCAGGGATCACCGATAAGGTTGTCCAGCTCCGCAGGTGGCGCCATTCATGACTGACCACCTCAGATGATAGGTACAAAAGTACTTACTTTCATGATAAAATTTTTCTTCATTCTCTTTCAAGGTCAAAGCTGGCTTTATTGATAAATATTGGCATGAAAGATGGAGGTACAGTTTGTGTCCTATTGTGTCCTTAAAATTTTTAAAAGTTTTTAAAAAGTTAAGAATTTGATTTAATTATGAGTTGGATGTGATAATTCATGAAAGAATATGGCATGAAGGAGGACCAGTCTGGAAATATGACGTCATTAACATGGTATATGTCTAGGTATTAAACAGAAAAAGGCCTCAAAATGCCTCATTTTAGGCCTGATCCAATCACTTGTGTTTCCAAAGATCCATGTTTTAACCCTAGTTATGTTTCTTATTGTTTATCTGAGGGTTTATTTAACACATCAGAGTTCTTCACCTTTCTGTCTTAAAACAGTGCAAACTTGTTTTCTAAAATGAAAGAGAGAAAATAGACTTAAAAGTCAAGCTATTTTTTGTATGCTACTTTAAGTGGAATTCTTTTGCATAAGTCTCTTAGGGAGATAAACAAGAACACACCTCTACACGTACAATGAAATGTTAAGAAATTGTTCAAATCATGATCATTTTCGTAAAATTACTCGTATCTAAAAAGCATAAAAGCTTTGTCACAGTCTTAAATGAAAAGACCTTGTGTTCATTTCAAAACATCTTGTGTCGTCGTCATTCTTTTGATTGAGATAAATTACTGTGGAATCACAAATTTTCTTCGGAGTTCAATTTTCGTTGTTTTCGAGGTATGAAAAGATATTTACACCTCTTAAATGAAAAGACCTTTGTCTCTAAACATCTCGTGTCGTCGTCATCTTTTTTTGAAAGAAATAAAGCTTGAGGCTTTCAGAATCTTCCGAGGTCAACATGTTGTTCGAAAGATAAAAGCGGAGGTTATTCTGCATCATTCACGAAAACAAGGACTTTATTTCTATTCTGCTACATGTACTAGCAGCCCTAAAATACGACTGATCGTTTCTCTATAGAGAAACGAATTAGGTCACCATGCTGCGTTAACGCTGTTCCATTTAACAGCAGAGTGTAAATTTGTTTGTTTACATGTGAATAGAGTGCAAACAATTTGAGCTTTAGCTGCATTAAAATTACCTTTTATTGTTTGTAGCTTAAAAAGATTAATCTTTTTGAATATACAATAACAATATAAAATCAGTTTCTTATTTTATCACTTAATTACCAAGATCACGGAGTTTATATAAGGCGGAGGGAGGTTCGGGAAACAGCCCCGCTTTGGCTTTAGAAACCTACATTCATCAGCTACTTTCTGCAATATACAATGTTTAATTTGCAAAAGACGACACATCAATGTGTTTTAAATACGTATTTCATTCTAAAGTCAAATGTACATTTTAGCTGCACAGGTTTTATACGTGTTTCTGATCTGATAATTTTTTGATGACGTTCGTGATTTATTGGAGAATAATATCTGCGGCTTTTCTTTGAAGTAGCTATAAATAATCGTAGTAGAATTTTAAATAAACGTTGACTGACTGTTCCTTGTCAGCATCCTCCGTGTATATATGCAAGAGAATCCCGAAAGTGATGGTTTACATTTAAAGCGTTTTTTGAGCCAGTATATATAATTATCTTTTCACAGTTCATCTTAAAGTAAAGGATATACTACTTTTATGAATGCATGGAACAAGTACTGAGAGGAAATCATTAGATATTACATGTAGACAAAATAACTGTAAGTATCGCATTAAACAGATAGTGAAATTTAAAGAAAGACCCATCTTTAAATGAGTTTGCATCAGGGTTTCCTAAAAAAAAAAAGAAATAGAATCATACGTCTGTTGCTTTTTATGTCGTTTTAAGTCCCATTAGAGAATTTTGCACTCATGTGAAGACGCCAACACTTGCCTATGGAGAGCTCCAAATTTTGTCCTATCCTCGGCACTTACAGCCATTGAGCAGTGAGGTATCTTTTTTTCTTGCCAGCACTTACTGCGATACAGGACGTCGGTTTATACGGTCTCATCCGAAAAAAAAACTAACTTCTCCACGTCAAACAGTAAGATTAGAATCCGCAATGTTAGGATCAACTTCTTGCTTTGCGACTCTAGAGCAAGACACTCCAAAACTGCGTGGCGCGGGCGATTTGGGCGAATACGTAAACACGCTTATAATGAAGTGCAAGGGACGAGAGATTTTGCTTCGTTACAAACGTACATGTAGTTCGTTATATATCCATAAACGTTACAATATATTTTTAAAAAACCCACGGGGAATGAAAATCACTTGTCTATAAGCATCAATTCATTATAAGCGTGTTTTATTGTAGTTTGTTTTCTTATTATTTCCCTTATTTTTTTTTTGTTTGGTAATTTTGAATGTATTGGGGCAGATAAATACAAAAGTTTAAAATATGATAATTTTATCATGTACAATTTATATTAATCTCAACCAAGTTAATTCAATAAAAGACTTTAAAATCGAAAAAACAAAACATACAAAAAATGGGAGAATTTACTGTGAAGGGAATCAGGCCTTCAAAAAAGATTGATTGATTGATTGATTGTATATTGTTTAACGTCCCTCTCGAGAATTTTTCACTCATATGGAGACGTCACCGTATGCCGGTGAAGGGCTTCAAATTTTGACCTTTACTCGGCACTCAGGGCCATTGAGCAGTGAGGGATCTTTATCGTGCCAACGCCTGCCGCCGACACGGGGCCTCGGTTTTGAAGGTCTCATCCAAAGGACCCCCTTCCAAAAAAAAAAAAATCCAAAAAGAAAAAAAAAGCATTTTAAGCTGATTCTTAGATTTTTAAATATTTTACATATAACACGCAAATTCAAAGAATGGCGGTGCCCCGCTTTCGGTGTCTTTGTGGGTGAGATGTCATTTTTATCATTTTTGTCATTTTTGTCAAAAACTAACTCCCTTTCATATGCCATTCAGAAGTTATCACCGAAGTTGATTTTTTTTTTGTTTTTGCAAATTAGGTCGAAAATTCAAAAATATCTTGTCACAGCAAATGCACATGTCAAATATGAAAGCCCTATCTCTTCTCAATCAAAATTATAAGGAAATTTAATATTTTTGAAAAATAGGTCAACCTTCAAGGATAAGGAAACAATATTAAAAATCTTAGTGTATTAAAAAAGGGCTTGTCAAAAGCAATACACAAGTTTAATATGAAAGCCCTATGTTTCTCATTCAAAAGTTATTACAAGGTTAAATTTTTTGAAAAGTAGGTCAAACTTCAAGCTCAAGGTCACGAAGTCAAAATTATAGTGTATTTAGAATGATCTTAACTCAGATAATACACATTTTAAACATAACAGCTCTATCTCTTCTCATTCAAAAGTAATGGCCAATTTTAAGTCTCTAATTTTTTAAAAGTTGGTCAAACTTCAAGGTCAAGGTCACGGGGTCAAATATTATATTGTATTTAGAAAGGTCTTCTCACAGGTAATATCATATACAACGCATGTGTCTTGGTACTATGATTTATTCAGCTTCAATCAAATGCTTAACATAATAGATAAAGACAATGAGGTAATCAAACAATTGATTGACAATGATTAAACAATATTAGATAAGTTGTACTTTAGATATGTCACATCTCCCTTTCTTTCAAGAATTTAACTTTTAAATTAGCCTGATTACAAGTACATGATAATGAATTTTGAATATTGATGAAAATGTCTAATAAATGAAATTTTGCTTATGTGTAAATAGTTATGCAGATCATATAGTTCAATCACGGTTCCATCGCTGAATCAATATCCTTAGAAATGAAAACACAAGTTGCACTATTGCTCTATCTGAGCCACTACAACTTTCACAAAACAAATTTTGAACACATTTTCACTGATAACATGGAATCTCGATGGAAGCTTTATTTCACGTCCGGATCTGGTCTTCATTGGACTCTGAGTAGAAGTTTTCTGATGCGCGTCCGTTTTCTGGATCTTCTCTGTTTTCGGAATAGGTGATTTCTGCTCTGGTTCCACTTTACCATCATCTAAACATCCATGCTGTACTGTACGTTTGAGATCGAGAAACGGCTGAATTTCCAGATCCTCATCCTCTCTCACTTCTGCAGGAGTCGAGTTTGTCGGCTTCAAGCCACGTCTGTTTCTTCTGTATTTCCTACCGTTGGTTGCTTGCACGATATACGAACGTGGTGAATCATGTTTCTCTGCCACGGATCCATGTATCCATTGATCATTGTGCTTTATCATTATCTTCTCTCCAGGAATCAAGGGTTTCAAGTCAGATTTTGGAACATGTTTATCAAATTGTCTTTTCTGTTTGGCTTGACGAGTCTTTAGGCTCTCCTTGACAAATTCAGCGTACTGTGGTTTCAAAAGAGTTGCTGATACAGGTAACTTTGTTCTGAGTCGTCTGGCTAGGAATAATTGAGCTGGTGATAATCCTATTTCTTCCATAGGTGTGTTCCTATAGTCTAATACTGCCATGTACGGATCCTTCGCTTTTTCGAGCAGGTGTTTAATTGTTTGAACCATCCGCTCCACTTGTCCGTTAGATTGTGGATAATGGGGACTTGATGTCACATGACGAAATTCATAATCCTGTGCAAATTTTCTAAACTCTGCACTAGCAAATTTTTGGGGTCCATTATCTGAGATGGCTTCGTCTGGTATGCCGTATCTAGAGAATTGGCTCTTCAGATGATGAATCACACAGCTTGAGTTCGGCTGATCCAGTTTTGCTATCTCTGGCCATTTAGAATAAAAGTCCACTGATATGAGATACTGGTGTCCATTGAATTCAAACAAATCCATGGCTATTTTAGACCAAGGTCTGTCTGGTATTTTCTGAGGAATAAGACTTTCTCTTGGGTTTTGACGCTGATGAGTGGCACAAATGCTGCATTTGGAAATGACATCTTCAATGTGACTTCCCATAGACGGCCAAAACATTACTTCACGAGCCATCGCTTTGCATTTTACAATGCCTAAATGAGATTCGTGTATCCTCTCTAACATTTCTTTGCGACAAGCTTGTGGTATCACTAGTCTTAGACCTTTGTAGATCAAGCCATCTATGCATGCAAGTTCATCTCTGTAATTCCAGTAAGTGCGTATTTCCACTGGAAGTTGATCACGACTTTATGGCCATCCTTCTAGAATAGCTTTGCTGAGTAGCATCATCTCAAGATCTGCAGAAGCTGATTTCTGTAATTCTGCATATTTCCCAGGTGATAAAGGTAAGTATGACAAAGCGTTGACAGAAAATTCATCCACTAACTTCTCTGTTGTCTCGTTCAGATAGTGTCTGGACAAGTGGTCAGCTACGACAAGAGTTCTTCCTGGTTTGTATGTTACATCCAAGTCGTAACATTGTAATGTAAAAACCATTTTCTGCAGACGAGCAGGAATGTCATGTAAGAGTTTACGGAATATAGATTGCAGATGTTTGTGGTCAGTTTCAACTTGAAATCTTCTGCCATAGACGTACTGATTAAATTTCTGACAACCGTAAACTATAGCTAAGGTTTCCTTTTCCAACTGCGAGTATTTCTGCTGAGTCGTAGTCAATGCTCTGGATCCAAATGCTATTGGTTTTCCATCCTGAATTAATGCTGCTCCAAGACCTGTTGAACTGCTGTCCACGGTAAGTAATACTGGTTTCTCAGGGTCAAAATACGTCAAAACTGGAGTATTTGTAACCATCTCCTTTAGTTTTTGGAAATTTTTCTGTTTGTTTTCAGTGCCATGCGATTTCCTTAGATAGTAACTGTCGTAAGGGTGCTGATTCCTTAGACAAATTCGGAAGGAACTTGGCTAAATACTGAATGAATCCCTTGAACCTTCTTAGGTCCTTCTTGTTGGTTGGAGGTGTCATTTCTGTCACGGCACGGATCTTCTCTGGATCTGCTTTGAGTCCTTCACTACTGAGAACATGTCCAACATAAGTCACTTCCTGTTTACGGAATTCACATTTCTCGGAACTTAATTTCAAATTATAGTCTCTTGCCCGTTCCAAGACTTTCTTCAATCTTTCATCATGTTCTTTGAGAGTTTCACCCCACACAAGAATATCGTCAACAATGACTTCAGCACCTTCTATGTCTTCCACCATTCGTGACATCACACTTTGGTATATTTCTGATGCACAGTTGAGACCGAAGGGCATCCTTAAGAATCTGAATCTTCCCAGTGGCGAGTTAAACGTACATAATCTGGAACTGTCTTCGTCCAGTTGAATCTGCCAAAAACCTGAGGTTGCGTCCAAATTGGAGAAGTACTTGGCGTTTGGCATGCGCGAGACTATTTCCTCAATCGTAAGCATAGGATATTGAGGTCTTCTTATCGCTTTGTTGAGATCTCTAGGATCAAGGCAAAGTCTCACTGAACCATTGGGTTTAATGACTGTTACCAGACTGTTGACCCACTCAGTTGGCTCTGTCTGTCGAACAATGATGCCGTCTTTCTCCATGGTCCTCAATTTGTCCTTCACCTTTTGACGGAGTGCTACAGATATACGTCTCGGTGGAAGGACGACTGGTTGCACGTCTTCCTTTAAGTGTATCTTGTGTTTGACAGGTAGACAGCCAACACCGAAGAATAGATCTGAGTAGTTCTTGTGTATCGACTGTTCAGTTAGATTTTTCGAAGCCTGCGTTTCGAACTGTGACACGCTAAACATCTTCTGAACTAATCCTATCTGTTGACTTGATACTGATCCAAGTATTGTTGGAGTTTTTATGTCAACAACTTCAAACGGAATGTTCAAGGTTTCTTGCTGGAATGTACACGGTAGTACAACTAATCCTGTGGATTTCATCGTATGTCCACTGAAACTTTTCAATACGGCTCTTGATCTCTGAACTGTTTCATTGACTTTCAGGCGTTGTAGAACATTTTGGCTAATGACATATTACATTTGGCTCCAGTGTCAACATGCATTGTTATACTTTTGTCTTTCACTTTACAGTGTACTGTCCAGTCTGAATCTAGGTTCACTGAGTTCATTTTCTGTATCATGCCCATGAACATTTCTGCAGATTTATCACTTTCTTCATCACTTTCACTTTCTTCATCTGATATTTCTTGTACCATGTTTACTTTCTTTTTGCGTCCATGATATCCTTTTGTTTTACTGTGTTTGTGGAAATATGACCGTGTTTTAGTCTTGCACATGCTTGCGAAATGGTCAGGTTTGTGACACAAATTACACAACTGTCCCATAGCCGGACATTTATCTTTGTATAAATGTTCGAATCCGCATCGGAAACACTTCCTCTCTCTGAACTCGTGAGGTTTAGCTGCTTGTGGCTTCTTCTTCGCAATCATATTCACATTAGGGTCCTCCCCCGATGAATTCATAGTTTTCAGTTGCTTCTGAGACAGCTCAAATGTTCTAACAATGTCTGTACATTTCTGTAGTGTCAATTCTGATCCTTCGTTAATAAGTTTTTCTCGAACTTTCTTGGATTTCACACCAAAAACAATGTGATCTCGTAACATCTCATCTTCAATATCAGAACTATAGCCACAGTCATTAAACAATACTTTCAAATCGGTATAAAACTGTTCAAAAGTTTCATCATCATCTTGAGTACGACACTTGAATTTGTAACGTGCATATATCACATTAGATTTGGGCTTACAATACTGTTCAAAGCGGTCAAAATAGACTTTCAAAGTTTTCTTATCGTCACCTTGCAAATTCCAAGTCGAATAAATGTTCTTACCCTTTTCTCCGACCCATAACATTAGGTAATTACACAGTTGTTCCTCCGATTTCCCTTTTACAGGTCCACCAAACATAAATTCACAGTGCGCTTTAAATGCCTTGAATGCACTCGGTAGGTCCTGAGAATCCCAAGCCATCTTCGGATTTGGTTCCTTGTCTGTTGCCATCTTGTTAAAATGACACAAAATATCACTTCAAACATTCACTGCAATGTTTTACACATAAATTCCATACAGGTTGCTTCCGATTGTATTTTTGACCGATTGAGTTTTTACTTCTGACACCATGTCATATACAACGCATGTGTCTTCGTACTCCGATTTATTCAGCTTCAATCAAATGCTTAACATAATAGATAAAGACAATGAGGTAATCAAACAATTGATTGACAATGATTAAACAATATTAGATAAGTTGTACTTTAGATATGTCACAGGTAATACACATATGAAAGCTCTATTTCTTCTCATTCAGAAGATATGACCAAGGTTATAGTTTTTGTGACGGACGGACAGAACTACAGACTGACAGACTTTCGCAAAAGCGGGGGACAAAAATTCAGTCACAATAAAATCAACGAAAAAATCAAACAATATTATCACAGATAATTCAATTTATGCCGCTATGAGAAATCTGTTAAATTTTACACCTTCGGATAATTCCGCATATCCTTGCGCAGTCTGCCGCATATGCGCCTTTATCGCAGACGCAATTATTATATAACCTTTCATTGCGAAATCGCAACCCTTGCTTTTCTTGGAAGAGTTTCGTCCTTTTTACGGTTTTTTAACCCAATCAAAATCTTTGTTTTGTTGCGCCATTTTTGTTAGCCTGGTAGTGCGGTGAAAAAAAAACCCACCACCCACCCTTTTTGCGGATTTGGTTTTGTATTATTTTGCATTCTAGTCAAAATTTTGTTGTACGTTTCTTGGATTGGTGCAATTGTTTGGACGGCTCCAAGGATTTATTCATTTATGTTATATTTTATGCATATTTACATGTACTCTGATATTTTCACTGCATGTAAATGTCTAGTCAGTTTCAGGGGGATCACACTTGTACCTTTCACCTATGTACATGTATATCTTGTATTGTTTAATATTAGGTGATCCTCCTTAATGATTTGTTATACATTTTACTTTATGTCATTCAATTAAATGTGTTTGGTTATTTTTTACTGCACTATCAGGCTGATATTTCTCATAAGAGGCATAAAAGAAAGTTTGTGCTTATCTGTATACGAGAATGCGAATATTCGTTTGTGCCTAACAAGAATATGCGATTTTAGTCAAACATAGAGTTCGGTAAACCTACACAAGGTACAGATTATAAAGAAACTTTGCGCATGGTCTTCGTGTATAATATGTATTGAGCAAATCAACTGACTATAACAAGTTATTTTTCAAAATCTTTCATTACCTCATATCAAAACCAGCAGAAAATTTTTCTTTAATAAATAGCACGAAACCACATTTCATACTCAAAAACCTTTTTATTTGCGTTTCGTAGCAAGCATAAAAATGAAATGTACAATTTGCTAACTAGCTTAAGCTTTATTAGTACCCTGACTTTCGAAGATCTCCGAAAAGAGGTTAAAGAGATTACATATTTAAAAAAGCGTCGAATTTGACTTTAATTGACTACATTACAATATTTGAAAAATACATAGGCCCTATTTGCATGCTTGTCGTGTCTCGTTTTATATATATATATATATATATATATATATATATATATATATATATATATATATATATATATATATATATATATATATATATATATATATATATATATATATTTCTTTTATATTGAATGTATACCAAATATATATAAAAGGAAACAAATGAGTATTTCAATACACTATTGGTTAATTGTCATGACTTAGTAAGAAAAAGATATCCATCAAAATTATAGATGTGTATATTTGTAACCATTCAAATGATTAAAAAAAATAAAACAAAACAAAGCAAATCGAAAAATTACACCTGCCGTATGAAAAAGAAAAACTTTAAAGTTTGAATATTCCAAAAAAGTTTCCATACGCAGTGGGATTAATAAACCTGTGGTCATTGATGGAAACAGAAATCTGGTGAGATGGATAAAGTTTAACAATTCCACTCAAATACCCTGTGTGTTGTCTATCGGAAAACTTGGATCCGCCATACTTACCCATCACAAGAAAAGGCGAAAAGTGGGGCGCGGGAGGAAAAAGGCTAGTGATGTTATAGTAAATTTGCGGAACTTTCTTAATTTTTCCAAAATCAAAAACTAAAGCGGCATAAACGAAGTAGAACCCCTGTTCTTTGATGACAAGTTTGTGGTTGTCTTTGATTTGGAGATTACAGAAAGCAGATGCGGTTCTATTTACTTCCGTCCAGAGCAGACGACTTCGATCCCAGTCATTCAAATACAGGTGAGCGGAATTCGGTCTTTCCCTCCACCAAGACAAAGATTCTGAATCTTTTTCTAAATTAAAAAAATAAAAATGCTAGCTATAAGCACATTTTACCATTTTTGCAAAGGATTGAACTTTTTAGATTAATTTTAAATAAGTTTTCGCGAAGAAAGTTATATTCTAAATTTTCCCTCATCATATTCTATATATATGGATAATATGAGAAATCTTACCGTTATCTACATCGGCTTCACGAATCTTCATTATCTAAGGAAAATAAAAAATAAGGAATTGGTATGTATTTAATTGTTATTGTTTGTAATATTTTAAAACAAAATACCCAATTTGTTCATTAATTATCCACAATTATTATAATTTCAACATTATTTCATACAAAATTATCAATTTGTTGAAATTTTCTACACAAGAACAACTCGTTTTGTTTTTTTTTCTTCATTTTTTTAAATTTCAAATAAAAGTGCACCTTGTGAGAATTTGTATTAGATTTATTTATTTAGTATCCAGAACTGACGAGCATAGAATTAATAAAATATCATTATGATTCTATTCTATATAATTATATCATAGTTATTATTCCTGATTATTATTAGGTTGATTATTTTTAGCTGTCAATAGAATATGTGATTCTAAAAATAGTGATCTAAAAATAATAACGAATCGATAAGATATTATTTTCATTTTTGCTTTGACTTCTGCGAATATTATCGCTTAACCATCATTACTGTTTATGTACTTTCGTTTTCCCTTTTAATAGACAAAGGGAAAATTTTTAATTGTATATTTTTAGTCTCCAAAATACCTGTTGCAGAAGTTTAGCTATGCTTTTGTCTCGTAAACAACATAACCGTGTTCCGCAGTCTGAATAACTTATGTTGGTATACAATGTTTCTTCCACCTTTACGTCTTTTCCAAGATAATTACATTCTAAACACACTGTATCATCTACCACAGTTATATTTGGATGTTTTGAGAAATGTTCTGGTTCTGTTGTCTTTTTTGAAAGAGTCTGCGAAAAATCACTATTCCTCTGCATTAGATGGTTTTGATAAAAGTATAAAATTATTAGCACGACTAAAAGCACTGCATTTCCTCCGACGGAAAAATACAGGAATCTTCTGATCTGCACAGCACATGCTGAAGGGTTCCCCATGTCTAATATATTATGCACTGTGTGTAAAGCATAATATTTTGAATGCAATCCGCACTGTTATGTGGCCAATAATTTTTCTATTTCATTTTCTGAAAATGGCAGGTTAGGTCTATAAATAGATTTTTTTTGTTAGTAAGAATACAAATCGAAAGTAGAAATAAAGATATGATCGAAGGCTAATTTATGATTGTTATTGAAACTCAAAACATACAGCATATAGTTGTAATAAATAATTTAAAAAAATTATTGCGACTGTCTTTTAAAAAGTATTAATTTAATTAGTATGGGAATGGAGCAGACGTAAGCTAGATAGAGCTGGATCTAGCGCAAATATGTACAGAAAATAAGAAAAAATTATTAAAATATTATAAGCTTCAATTTCTTCCTCGATAGCCAAAATACCGAAATTTATGATTATTAATTAAAATATTTTCAGTTATTTTTCTGAATTGGTGCATAAAAATTTTCCATTTAATACAAAAAGTATAATTTACAGAAGAAAAAAAAATGAATGTTATTTCCCTTTCAATCATCGTCAGTTTCTGTCAATGTTTTTCTCATTATGTATTCAAATCTTTTTCTTTTAAAATAATAAAACAACTGCACTTTTAACGTTTCTTTTATTTCAATAAGTCAAATTTATTAACAATTAAAAGAATCCTTTTTTTTACGTTTTTTTAGGGTTATTGCCATGAAGACATAATCCATATGAAGCGCGATCTAGCACTTCATGAAAAATATATTTACATCCACTGAATATTTTCCATAAGAAAAAGCGCGAACTGCATTAGGCATATCACTTCATGAAATCAATGAAACGCACAAAGATGTTGCATCATTAACACAATAATTAATATTTTTAATCCTACTTAAAATGATAATTCAAACAGATATAAATATAAACAATGAAAGTCTTTGTTTGTTATTACTGGAATGAACGGTCGCAGATTGCAGAAAAATTACATAACCCGCTTACGCGGGTTATGTATAATCCAGTAATAACACACATTTTATTGTTTAAATGCTTAAAAAATTCCCTATAATTACAATTTTACATTTTTTTTTTCAAAAGCTATTTGAATTACTGTCCTATACGTATGGTTACATTTTTATGGAAGTCTCTGTAGCCGCGTTTTGATGTCACTTTAGCGCGAGTATCATCGTGTATATTTTTACGCGTGAGTATATACAAAAATTGCATGACTTTCAAATCAATTTCACAGCTTCATTATATAGTAGACAAACACGGCAAATGTTATGGCATTATATGTATTATTATAATAGCTGTTGCAGGCCTTCCTTTGAACTTTCATTCCACTTAATAATTTTTTTCTTCAGAATACATTGGTTTGATACTTGTCTTGCATAGAATTCTCAGTATTTTGATGACCAATCACACATTTTTTTTTCATTTCTGAAAATGACAGGTTACTTCTTTTCATAGATTTTTTTCATTTTGTGGAAAACAAATTGAAAGTAGCGATTTAATGATGAATACTACACTGTATATGGACACATAGGACTTAAGATTCTAATTCGTATTATTATATACGATTGTGTCATATTTAAAACAGCATACAGCTGTATAAATATTATGAAAAGAAAATTATAATTTAAAAAGCATGCAGTACGGGAATAAAGCAGAGGTGAATCTAACGCAAATGATCGTAAAGAAATCTGCACAAGGAAAAAAAAATCATTACATGTAACAACTGCGTCACATTCATGTTTTTATCTTTGAAAAGTGTAAATTTTACGCATATATAAACTAAATAAATGAAAGTTATCTCCCAAAATATATGAACTGCACTATCAGATTTTTCCTTTTATTTTGATTTAGTTTTATTTAAAATCTCACAAACAAACTCATCTCTAAGTAATGGTAGAAGTTTTGTATAAGATGCTGGTTATCTTCCTTTGAACCTTAAACCCAGGTAACTGATTTTGCATTCAAATTAATTCCTGGAATATTCGACAAGATGATTACTGTCTTCTTATATTAAATTATTTAATAGACTTTCGTGAAAGACTGTGTGACTACACACCAATAATTCACCCTAAGCTTTAAAAAAAAACCTTACAATTTTACAAGTTTAAAAGCACCAATAATATACTCATTATTTTAATTTCTTGCTGTTCCATATAATTTCATCTAGAGCTGTAGCCTTGTTTTGACGTCACTCTAGCACTGGTTTCACGGTGTATATTTCTACGCATGAGTATATTAAAACAAAAATGACTTTCAAATCAATTTCAACGCTGACTTAGAAGAAAAACACAGCATATGTAATGGTACTTTAAGTATTTTAGCTGTTGCAGGTCTTCATATGAACTTTCATTCCACGTTATATTTTATTCTTCAGAATACTTTGGTATGGTAGGTATTTTGAATATAACCCGTCTTATTTTAATGACCAATCACATTTCTTTTTCATTTTCAAAAAATGACAGGTTAGTCCTACAGGGAGAATTTTTTTTTCATTAGCCTGAAAACAAATCGAAAGTACACACCAAAGATGGATACCATGGTCACATACATATAGGACTAAATTCTGTTTTGTATTATGATTTAATAGATTGTGACCGATTTAAAACAGCATGCAGTTGTATACATATTTTGAAAAGAAATGACTTTCAAAAGCATTCAGAACAATTTTTTTTTATTTGGAAAACAAATAAAGTACACACTAAAGAGGTGTCACATAGGGCTAAATTCTGTTTTGTGTTATGATTTAATAGATTGTGACTGATTTAAAACAGCATGCAGTTGTATACATATTTTTGAAAAGAAATGACTTTCAAAAGCATTCAGTATGGAAATAAAGCAGAGGGAAAAAAAAACCATTAACACCATACCAGCGTTATTATCACGTTTTCATCCATATAGGGAAAATGCAGGCACTTATAAATATCAAACATCTTCGGATTTATTTCCAAAAGAATTCATATCAGAATTAAAAGTATAAATTTTTGTAGATATATTAGACTGAGTTAATGCTCTATCAGATTTTGTTGATTTCGTTTAGTTTTAAATAGTTAATCCCATGAACAATCTCTCTAAAATAAAGGACTCTTTACGTAATGGTAAAAGTTTTGTAAACATTGCTGGCTACTAGCTGACTTTGAACTTTTAACCCACGTAACTGATTTTGCATTCAAATTAATTTCCTGGAATATGCCACAAGACTATTTTTCTTGTATTAAATTTATCTTACGTAAGTTCATTTCTTGCTTGCATCATCCATATTCTTTGACAGAATGCATCAAACATACATTGATTTATGGGAAAGTGCATGTTTCAACCTTGACAAGTGTCAGTTTAATTGCCCTTCACCTGTTTCGTTGAGAATTTGGTTTATTATATTTAACTAAAACAACGGCTCATGTTCAAGAAATTTTCGGAGGATTTCAGATTAATATATACATATTTTTTTATCGAGACAAAAATTATTGAGTAAAACTTTAATCGTTTTTTTTTTCACAACATGCACCTTGTTTTTGAAGGAAATATTTGAATAAATGGTTGCTTGAACCGCATACCCATTCCTTGTGATATTTGTTATATGTATTTGATATATCCATTTTATTTATACGTACGTAATAAAGAAAAAATCACAGAATTCTTCATATCAACCATTTTTCTTTATTTTGCCATTTCATAAAATAACAATAGAACATATAAACAACAAGCAGTGCAGTAATGCGGGACGTCGATGAATGATTAGGGTGCCCTAGATTCTGAAGTCTCCAGGGACTAATACATGGGAAAGCTTTAGTAGTATCCCTGAAACAAACAAACCAGGTATAAGTAATATAATAAAAAAAAACGAACAAACATTTTTTTTAAAATCATATGTACTTAACAGTATTTACCAGCAACAATATTGATCGTAATAAATTTTTTACCAAAATAAATAAATAAAGAAAGAAAGAGATTAAAGAAAGAAAAGATTTTTTTTTATTTATCAGCAAAAATGTTGAAAAATTGTTGACCAAAATAAATGAAAAAGAAAGACAGACAGAAAGATAGATAAAAAGAAAGAAAAAAGAAAGAATAATATAACCAAAACTCTTGTTTACCTTTCCTTTGGATCTGCGTCCGAATCCACCACCAATACCACCGAGACCACCACCGTATCCTCCGTATCCACCTCCGTATCCACCTCCGATGATGATTCCACCTCCTTTTCCGTATCCGCCTCCGTATCCACCGCCATATCCGCCTCCGTATCCACCGTATCCACCTCCAATGATGATTCCACCTCCTTTTCCGTATCCACCTCCATATCCGCCTCCGTATCCACCTCCGATACCGTATCCGTCATCAAAATATCCACCACCTATTCCGCCACCGTATCCACCTCCGTATCCACCGCCATATCCACCGTATCCACCGCCATATCCACCTCCGTATCCACCGCCATATCCACCTCTAAAGGTGGCGCTAGCGTAGACGACACAGAGAGCGAGACACACAAACTTCAGCATTTTTATGGCGGGACTGGAAACTAAAAGAAAGCAAAAATTATTAATGATATTTTGTAAATAATTAAGTTTTAGTGAAAAATTAGCACAAATATTTTTTAAATTGAAGTTTGTATAATTTGCCTATTTCATTTAAGTTTGTAAAGCCTAGATTATTGAAAAGCCTAGATTATAGAAAAAAAATTGTAGTAGAAAAATTATTACAATTTTTTTTTTTAATTGAAGTTTGTAGAATTAGCCCATTTTATATCTTAATTTAAAATGGCTAGATCATAGAAACCTTTAATAAAATATATAGAATGAATATAATTCTATCACAGAATTTAAACTTTTCTACATGTATAAGTACTTCATTGTCGTAATCCATCCGAATATATTTTGGTGAAACAGAAGTTTAAGATAATTACAAAGCCTCCATGAAAGAAAATTAGCGGAAACTACACAAATAATAATAATAATTTGAGAAAAGCGAATTAGAAGATTCATATGTCGTATGATACCAGACAAGCAAGTCGAAAAATGATTTTATCTATAAATCCTAAGAAATAAGACTTTAGAAATCTAAATCTTACTTATTTTTAATAAGTTGCACTTATTCACTCTCTCACTATTTCTCAGAATATCTTACCTTTCTAAGCTCACGGGCTGTTTCGGTCTGGCCTGAGTTTCGGACCTGCCTCCTTATATACTCTCGAAGTAGATAATGTCCCAATGACCACGGACACGTTTATTGCCCCCTTTCCAAGTACCTGTTGTGATTAATTAAGGCCATCAATCAGACATTTAGTTCTGCCGGGAATAAAAAGTATGTTCCTTATTGGTTTTGACTTGTAGGATAACATCTTGGGTGACTATAATGACTTTTGCATGTTTTTACTTCTTACTGTAAAGGTTAAAATTCCTCTCTAACTTCAAAACTTGCCGAGTCAGACATTTCTGTTCTTTATATAGATTAATGTTTACTCAAATCAAAATTTAAATCGCATGCAAATGAAAACACCCCCACCCCAAAATACATGTTCTAAATCTTAATGTTAGGCCATCTTTATTTAAAGATTTGTTTAGCTTGCCCTCTCCCGACTCAATGTAAAATTATTTAGTCGGTAGATGGGTAAAAAAAATCAACAAATTTGTAGACGGGAAAAGAGAAAAAAAATTAATTAAAAAGAGGAATAAAAAAAGAAAGAAAAATTGAGTCGGGTCATTTGTAGTCAGTCGGTTGGGAGAGGACAACCAAACTTTTTTTAAAGACGGCCTGAAGAGAAACTTCTTGCAAAATGTTAAATATTAAATTGGACTTTATTGTGATTTAACTGTGTGACATGTCTCATTGTATGCATTTAACCAAATATAGGGGCCATGTTTACAATCCCAAATAAGGAAATCATTTCAGAATATTGTACATTATTTATTGTTAAAATTATACATTGATTTCTACATTTTTTTCATTGGATTGATTTTTGATACATGTATCTGTGTAATGATTGAAGATTCAGTGTGATTCATGTGGTCTATCTTGTCACGAAATTCCATTTGTACCTATCTGGTAGAAACAAAACAATAATAGAATACCTTTGTTACTCATCGATATTTACTACAATCGACATATTCTATAGCTAATCTATTGATCTGATTGTCGTTTGTTGTTTACTGACCATAGAAAGTCATTTCTCTTGACCATCGATCTGAGTCATATCAACGCTTGACATCTACTGCCATAAATCAAAAGAGGAGAAAAAAACCGTAATACTATGTCGTAAAAATTAATTACGCTGGTTACCGATGTTTCATCACGTAATTAATTGAACGTAATACACAAAAACCGTTGACCATGAGTTAATGTCATATTCATTCACACGCGCTTCACGTCAAATTTGCTTATTAGCAGCGGGCCACTTTTGTTGTTCATTGCTCGCAGACCGTAGCCTTTGGACATTGTTTTACGGTGACATGGAAAGAGAAAGCAGTTGGTGTGAAATCGCATGTTTGTTACATAGGTTACTGTCTTGCAGTGAAGGTGCAGCGTTGTTGACATTGTTGAATGGGAAGAAATGATACTAAATACCTGACATGAAAATGCATAACAACTAGATACGTCTGGGTTTATTTTTTATGTTCTGACTTAGGAGTGCATCTTTTACAAAATGGTATTATGGAGTTTAAAATGGCATAAATGGCAATGAATTACGACTTTTCATAATTATTTTTACTGAGATATATAAATGCAGTTTACAACCAGTATCTATTATTTAAAAACAACAAGAACCAAACAACAATGGTAAAAAAGCTGTTGTCGGTATTAATTGTAGTTAATGTACATGTATCAGTGTTTTAGTTTTATCGGTTTTAATAGATAAACACTTCATCTTAAAAAAAAAAAGAAATAGTGTGATATATCGACTACATATCGTTTTTATTTTTTAAATGAATCTATAAAACAAAACAGCAATTTTATGTCTTTGGCCAAAACTATTCATTAAATCACTGATAAAAAAAATATGTACATGACTCCTTATCACTATCTATAAATTATGATAATATCTAATTATACAATGTAATGAATTCTCTCCATTCAAAAGATATCAATGATAGCCCCCGTTTGTGCATTCTTTCTTCGATTATTTTTTTCAGAACACATGTCAAAGTTAAAAATCAAACGTGTAATACAGATTGCTGAACACAAAATTTAGTCAAATATCCAATTTTCTTTATTTTAAATCCTGATAAAATTAAATTTCAAAACATATTTTGCTTCAAAAAGCACATCAACATCATTTTGCATGTTTTCTAAATTTCAAATCAAATTCTGTTCGTGAAACGGATTAATCTTTTTAATAAAATTTAATAGAAAACTGGTCTTGTAGAATATGTTTTACCCTGTGAATCATCTTCTAGAGCATGATTTTTACCTGGAAATAGGCTGGAATTAGAATTTCCCCAACCGATAAATACTGTATGACTCAAGAATAGGATTTTCCAGGAAAAAAGCTGGCTTTGGGGAAAATCTTCCCAACAATACCCGTACATGTAGTTTATGTTTCGAAAAAATGATAGAAAATGGGTTTTTGTATTAATAAAACTTAATAATACTTAAGACTAGACATATCAGCTTCCCGGCCTGATACGGGAGCTGCTTTGCGTGGCCTTTGCAGATAAAACTTCTCGAGAAACTGCAGCTTTGTATCTGCAAGAGCCCACTTTGGTCCAATTAAAAAAGTATTTAATGAAACCAATGGAAATAAAAGCAGCATTCAAGCTCATAATCCATTCGAACAATATAAATCAAGAGCAGAGCTAACACAGACCTCTAACAACATCACAGGTGGTATCGTATCAATGGAGGAGTGAGCATTCCCTGCCGACTGGTTAGACCTGCCGTTTGCTCATGTCATGATCTGGGAATAACGGGAATATTCGTAGATAATTCAGACTGAAAACATAATGGTGTTACATTTGTATGAATAACGTCAGTCAGCATTTGACTTCACCATAAATTTGTTTTTACTGACAAGGTTATTGTATGGATCATAGAACTTTAAAAGATCTGTAGAAGATTTTTTTTAGTTTATAGCGAATTGAAATTGTTTCAACAAATTTCTTCAATTTATTATAATTCATATCAAAATTTGTTATTACATGATGACTATGTTGGAACAAATTTATTTTTTAAAATTCGATAATTAAGCATATAGAAAAGTATTGATGAACTCGATATATCGGATTGTCGAATTCATTTAAACGAATTGAAGTCGAATATGCTTAATTTGATTTTTGAAAAGGTCTCGTTTCGTAAAGTTATAAAATAAGTTCTAAAATTATAATTAGATTTTTTCTAACATTTTGCAAATTTTGATAAATTATGTTAAAATAGTTGATTTAAAGAAGTAGGAAAGTTCGATTTCTGTTGCAAATATAAAAATATCGTAATAATACGAATAAAACAAAATTAAGAATATATTTATTTAAACATTTTCAATATTATATACACATACATATACAGGTAGCAGCCAATATAAACCCAATTTACAGTAAATGTGTTCATGTTCCCCATTTAACCCTTGTTTTTGATAAACTTGCCACGACCCTTAGCTACCAACATTATTATTGTGAAGGTCAATCGCTTAAGATACAGAAATGATGCGTGCAATTTACAGTTATACTTAATTAAGACATGCTAAAATTTCCTTGTAGAAGCCTTGAGCTAAAGTAATTGCACTTTTATCAAACCGAAACCTTGTTGATTACATAATGTACCTGGGCTATGGAATTAATTTCTTCATCTAATTTATGACCTCCTATTGTAGTGGGAATACTCTCACCTTAGCTGGCTCAGTTAGCGACAGTTTTTACTACCGTAGTATTTCATATTTAGCCTATACATTTTCTTTCTGTTTCGGACAGGGCAGTGTAATTATAAGAAGTAATATATGGACGAAAAGGACCACACGTATGGTCACCGCATGCCAGGACACATTTCATCTTCTGTTGTTTTTATCAAAAGTTTTAAAAGTTTTCATTCTATATTTAGACGTTACAAACTGTGTGATCAATAACGTTACACATTGTCTTTATTTTAAAATAAATATGATTTTTTTTTCTTCATGAAAAAAGATTCGGTTAAGATCTTAGATCAAGGATTTATGTCTCTGCTTAAAACATTTACTAATTTGCAGTGGAACTGCACGATAAAAATGTAAACAGTTGTTCTGAATTTACAAAAAGTATATTGGATGTGCAGCCAAAGTTATATAATTCCCATTATTCATAAGTGCTCATTGTTTTTATATGGAAAAATTTAACTAATTATATGTGTGTATTAGGAAAGAATTTGAAAATTTAATGGCAGAAAATTACTTTTATTAAATGCTTCTTGTAAGATTTAAAACATAACTCAATAGACCCACAGAAATATTTTTTTGATTGATAAAAGTATTGGTTTGTGAGTTTTGCTTTTAATTTACTGTAGAAAATCTGGAGCACATCTTTCATTTTACAATGTTGATATATTTGAATATTTTTTTTACTTTCATTAGTACAAAACATGTATTTTACTTTTTCACTTTTTTAAAAAATAAAACAATGATTTGATTTCTTTGTATTCTTATTTCTGTGTAGATATATGTAAATATTCTCTTCTTTAATCATAAATAATCAAAATGTCTATGAATATCAAGTGAAAATTTTAAATTTGATACAAATTCAAATGCGAACAATTTATAGTTTTCATTCTCTCAATATTGTAATAGCATCTTATTATTTTTTTAAAACTTTAATGATAACGTTGCGCGTATTTTAGATATTTTTGTTAAAACATTTACTATGCACAGTTGTTCTATACAAAAATGTATATTGGATGTGCACCGTTTAAATACCCATTATAGTCTTTTTATCTTAAAGGAGAAACTGTAAAAGCACAAAATTTCGATGGTCGAATTTTCGTGGTTTGATTAAAAAGTATTGGTTTGCGGGCTTTTGACAAAATGTTTAGTATTGAAAATGAAATTTTTTTAATTAAAATTTGTATTGTCTGAAAATATACAAATTTTATTTTTTTAAAAAAATTCTGATATTTTTGATGCTATGCAAGAAAATAGTGAAAACATTGCAGGGAATTATGCCTTTAGTACCTTTTGATTGTACAAACATTCGTAATTACCTGAACCATATACAGCCCCTGACCGCTGACTGTCTCGTTTCTTGGATAAATAAAAC